CCTAACATGTTACATCACAAAACTCTTTAACTACATTGTGTTTTGTAGTTGAAAAGTTAAGCGAACGGATAAAGTTAGTGACATAAACGTAAGGATTGTGTTATAACCATTTGTAATTATAGAACATTAATTTATTCTGTAGAAATATTCAGATCCCCAGCTTTCAATCGAAAATATTATTTATAAATAGCTCTTTAATATTTTGATACATACTGATAAAATCCAAAAATATGTCACATAAATATATTCTCCTACAAAGCTTATTTTTATTTTTATTAAAAAATTACTAACCTTGACAGGATCTTTCTGATGCATTCGATCTTGAAAGCGAGCAAGATCATCCAGCAAGAGAGACACTGTCTCATCTAGGTTTTTGCTCAAAAACTGATCACAGTATCTGTAATAATAACAGTATCAATGATTATCAGAAGATAGCATTATGCATAAAAGAAAAATAAATAAATAAAAAACTATGCAAAAATATACAAAATATGCTCATTCAAAGCAGACACAGGAAAAAAAAAAGTGTTTAGAAAAGAAAGTAGAAAAAAAAATGTTAAAAAGAATCAAAATATACGTCGGGAGTTTTTTCTCCAGGTAGGGCCACCCTAGGCGTGAAGGCTATCCTATTATGTCCAGCTATAGCATGCAGGCACAATGAGGGAAAGTCAGACTTCAGCCCATGCGGTTCCTCTTTTAATTGAAGCTGCCTCTTGCCCATCGCCATGGATCAGTCGTTGCTGATGCGACATGATCATCTGAACTTGGTCTAGGGCTCTAGACCAAGGGGATAAGTAACAACAACAACAAAAGCAAAATATTCTTTTCTCAGACTCTTTAACAGCTAGACTTAAATGCTTTAATAATTAAACTAATCTTTCATCTGGTAGAAAAACATTAAAAATTCGAAGACAAAAAAAAAAAATCAAAATAAGAAGCTGTTTAACTTATTTATTTCCTAAACTTCGTGCAAATATTTTATTTCCCAAACCAGAGATTCACAACCTGGGACCCATTAGTCGAAATCGCCCTAGAAACTCCTTTAACTCGAGTAGTCTCAAATTTTATAAAGAAATGAAAATTAAAAAAAAAAAAAAAAGACATTTCTTCTTTGCAAAAATATACAAATATTGTATTAGAGTGATAATCCCTTTTTAAACTAGTCATCTTCCACGCATTTGTTTTTTTTTTTATTTTTATTATTTTTTTTTACAAGTAAGTTGTTACACAATGATTTGGTTATAAGTCTGAACTTGATAGTAACCATTTAACTTATGATCATTGGCTCAGTGTTTGCAGTGAAATGCAATTTCTTTCAAATTTGTAGAAATAAACCAGGGAAAAAAAAAGGGGAAAGGGGATTTCCTAAACTAAAAACATAACACCAAAAATTCAGGATTTTTTTAAGCTCAAGAGATTCTGTCTCTTTAAGACTATTGACTCAATTAAAATGCAGAGATCCGTTTTTATTTTCTAGAGGATGTTATAACTCAGATGAAACTCTTCATGGCTCTTTCACCTCCATTGTATATTAAAATTCTATGTTCTCTGTCTAAGGGTCATGTTACATACGCATAGCTGCCAACAAGGATAGGAAAAAATCCAGTAGATTTTACGAAATAATATAAATTTCATGATAATTGCTGCCTGCAATTTTTTCCAGTTATGATTGACATCAAATAAATATACTTTAAATTTTATGTATTATGTTTACTCATAATTTTGAATAGTAATTGGCATTTAATTCATCAAAGATAGTTCAAATACTTTTTTAATTAATTTAAAAAGGGAAATCTTAATAAAAACTGAACATTTTAGAACAATAGAAAGTTTTAAACAGATTTCTATAAATAAGGCTTGCTTCATTATGTATTAATAACACTTATTTAAATATTCAAACAGGCAAAAATTCTATTTCAATAGGAATATTTTTAGAAAACTTACTCACTTTTAGGGAATTTTCTAAAATGTACAAAAACCAGGAGAATTTTTATTAAAATTTTAGATCAGGAGAAACGTGCAAAATCCAGTAGTCTAAGCTGGGAAATCAAGTAGAGTTGGCAGCTATAAAATCCAAAGTTCAGGGAAAAGTGAGTTCAGGTAAACTTAGAGTAAACTATGAAGTTTCAAATGCTGAAAAAATGCTTTCAAAACATCAAAATGCCAACAAATAATTGCAGTATTACTTCCACACTGCACAATCCTGTCATATTTTATTTGCATTTTGATGTTTTGAAAATTATTTTCAGCATTTGAAACTTCAGGGTTTATACTAGGTTTACCTAAACTTTGGATTTTAAGAGACTAATGGAGATGAAAGAGAATTTGCCATGAAGGGTCTCTCCCACACCCTGTAGCAAAATTTTTACGGGCTTTCTGCGACAAACTTCCCTAGCACTAATATTTTGCCTAAAGATATTTTTAGTTATAACAATTTCTAATTTAAAGTAACATAAACGTAGTGTGTACAGAAGAAAGAATAGAATAAAAATGTATAAAAGTTTTTAATTGTAAAAAGTAATATTTTTTAATAATTTTAATATTATAGGTAATATTCTCGCATTTCGTAGGCAGAAAAATGCACTAATTATTTTCTCTTTCGAATTTTGTAAATCATTACACAAATTGAAATTTGCAAATAAATTAAACCATAATAAACTAAAATTCGTACATAAATTAAAAATTGTAAAATCTGTTAAGTAACTCACAAAANAATTTTGTATCAAAAATGTGTTTTTGTCCTCTCATCTTGGAAAATATAGGTTTTTGCCACTTTTTGCCAATTTGCTTGGCAAAAACCTGTTTTTGCCAGGACGGTTTTTACCGGTATTTACCATGGTTTCTTCCACCTGCTGCAAAATCTTGCCAACCCTGGTAAAATGTAATATTTTTTAAAATTCTAATATTATAGGTAATATTCTCGCACTTCGTAGGCAGAAAAATGGACTAATTATTTTCTCTTTCGAATTTTGTAAATCATTACACAAATTGAAATTTGTAAATAGATTAAACCATAATAAACTAAAATTCGTACATAAATTAAAAATTGTAAAATCTGTAAAGTAACTCACAAAATAAAGATCACGAATAGGACTCTAAAAGATACTCAAGTGTATGTAAAATATGGTGCTCATGAAAAAAAAAAATGAAAGAAAGAACATCATTTCTAGAGCTCTACAAAGAACATAATTTCTTCATTTAAACTTTCGTGATTTCTGAATTTTTTTATTTTATATTATTAATTTTAAATTCTAGCTGAAGTCAGTCGTTACTGATTTTTAAAAAAATTTCAAATGAGTATGGAAAAATCATGGTTATTTCTTTCCTCACTGATGTGCAAGAAAGACATCTTTAAAAAAAAAAATCGTCATAAAAAAAAATTCTTAGGAAGCAGAACGGAATGCAGAAAGGAAAACAAAAAATTTTCCCTTCCCAAATTAAAAATCTTTCTGCAAAAACTTTGTAACATTCTGCGACAATGTCGCCATGTGGCTCCCATTGTATAGAGTCCTCTTAAGAAATAATGCCTTTTGAGAGTTAGCAACAATGAAAGATAATTATATTAAAAAAAAGAAAAACAACCATGTATGCAAAAAAAGAACACTTACTCTCTGTATTTTTTGGAATGTAAAACAATAAGAGAAGCTTGCTTAATTACTTTTTCTGAAAATTTTCGATCAGGTAAACTCTGGATAACATTCTCTGAACAATCAAAAGTATTGTTGGCTATGGATTCATCAAAAGGTTCTTTTATTACTGGGATTTCATTTTTCTTTTGATAAATATTAATCTTGTTTTCTTCGTTTTCAATAAATAACATTTCATTTTCATCAGATGGAAAACATGACATATTCAAGTTAGTATCATAAGTAAAATTATTCATTTTACCACTAGCAGCTAAATTATCAACAACAATGATAGATGAATTTTCATCATCAGTTAAATTTTTATCATGAATAACAACAGCAGAATTATGGTTAACCATTTCAAGCCTATCGCTAATAACAGGAGATAAACTATTTTCATTATATTCACAGTCACTAGAGGTAACGGCAGATACTTCATCATCTTCAAGTACACTGGAACAGCTTTCTTTCATGAAAAGATACTTAATATCATTTAAAACTGGTTCTGCGGCTGTTATTTCAGAGGATGAGTTAACAGCAAACATGTACCTAATGCTATACAAGAAAGTATCATAATTTTGAAACTTAGGCACTTTCCCGTGTCTAGACACATTCCTTTGGTTTCTACTTGTTAACATACCGCCATCATAACTATGAAGGCCAGCACACGTGAGACATTCAGTTTGAGGAACTTTGTGAAAACATTGTCCATTGTATCCAAACAGCCATTTAACATCAACAATAATTTCAATAAAACTAGAATCAGATTGATCAAGCTGATTGTTTGAATCACAGGTTTCATTTTGTAGAAATGAAGAATCTTTTTGAAAGGGCGTAAGGCATTTTGGGTCACAATCACTTTGTACATGGGGATCATCACATTCACCAAGGAATGCACGGTTTTTTGAATCAAAATAATAATTTTCAATGGACAAAGCATCATCTTCAGCAGTCATTGAACCTTTAGTAGGATCATGTGAATATTCTTTAACTTTATCATTCTCAGAAGAGGAAGTTAGAGCAGGAGCCTCACCATCAGGGGTTATCACGTCATCTATGTTTTCTGGGCCAGATAATTCAGCTGTAAACAATAAATATGAAAAATAAATTAAAAAAAAAAGGTTGAGGAAAGATTAATTAGATTTTTTATATCTTCAGGCAAAAAGGAACCTGCATATCTGCCAACATCGAGAGGAAAAAAACCAGTAGATATTACAAAATAATATAAATTTCATGATAGCTGTCACTTAATGTACTGATTATTTTACACAATACAATACTCAAATAAAAGTGAGATTTGAAAGTATAATACCAAATGTAAATTTTATGATAATAAAAATTACAGAAGTTTATAACTGCTGTTAAGATTTCTCCATATATAAACCTTGTGCGAAAAGTTGCACAAAGTCTTAATCAAATACAAATACCAATGATTAAGAAGGATTTGATGTACAATGTGCAAAAAAAAGAAAGAAAGACCACCTGGAACAACTTTTGATCTAATGATCAAATCTTTACGTTCTAGGACTCACTCTTAATGGCTCAAGGGGGTGATTTCAAATACACTAATTAATAAGGACAATATCTTAAGTTACGAAATCAGACACAAAAATGCTCCTTCTCTGAATAAACATACCTTTCCCCCCCTGATTGATTCGGATTTCTGACCCCCGAAATATAGGGGGTAGCTGCAATCTGGGAAATATGGTCACAATAGTTTGGGCAGGACAGCGCTCCAAAGTTTGGAACTCTTAATGTTAACTTTATAATTTGTGTATTTCATTTCTAATTGTACCCTATTTCCTAAAACACTTATAATTAAAAAACATGATTCTAATATAAATATCAAATTATATGAACATACTAAGATTTTTTTTAGTAAAGATTTACCTTTATTAGATCTGATTTGTTCTTTTCTCTTCATTCTATCAAGTAAAATGATCTGGAAAGTAAACACACATTAAACCAAGTGGTTAAAAACAAGAATTTATAATTAAAAGTCAATTTTTTTTTACAAATATTGTTGCACTATAACAAGCCATGTATACACACATCAGAATTATTATAATTTCTTTGATTTTTTGTGAAGCTTTTTACTGCATAATATTAAGAATATGCCTTTAGATCATTTTTGAAAGGCAGCAGAGTTTTGTAATCACAATTCAGAAATTTTACCGACACTTGAAAATGAAAGTTATTTAATTTTGAGAAATAAAACAGTGATTACTGATGCTAATCTGAAGAAGAAAATAAGGATTTGTTACAGCTCGGGGAAAATGCTTCACATTTTATGTTTATGCATCAGTTGAGGAAAATGGTGAAACTTACATTCTCAGTTTAAGAAATGGTTGCAGAAGATAGAAAAAGTGCTAAGTGATACCGATGATATCAACAAAACGGAACTAAAACCATAACCACAGTGTGTTTAAATCAAAATTTCCGAATAAAAATGTGCTTATTCATCTTTTTTTTTTTTGCATTGAAATATTTTTGTAGCAATTACATAATTCTTTCAATTAAAATTTTTCATACTTACTATAAATTCATCAGTTGTCCATAACTTCATACACTTTTAAATCATTATTTCATATTTTATCTTGACCCATATTTATTGTATTCTCATATTTATCTCTCGTAATGAACTACTTTAAAACATATACCTATACTACATTATTATGGTGCAATACATTTCTTTAAATGACAAAAAGAGTTCTGCTCTGACTGGATGCAATAGAGTAACTGCCACTAATAAAATCACTAGATTGTTGTTTCTTTTTAAAATCAAATCTACAAGAACAGAACTACTACAATATCAAAACATGAAAAAAAGCTTTTGCAGGGCTATAAACAGAGGGAAAAAAAAACTATTCTTTTTTTTGCAGGAATACTTAAAATCTTCTTTCTTATAAGTTTTGAAAGATATGTAGAAGATGAAGTCAAATTCACAAACAAAAGAAACAAAGTTACAGGTGTAGATTACACTTCTCATAAAAATCTAAGGATCAAAGAAAAAAAAAAACAGTGTAAAAAAATCCCAAACAAAAACTTCTTATGTAAAAAAAAAAAAACTATTGAAAGTTTGTAAACAGCTACAGCAGGGTTGAAAAGGAATGCAAATGAAAATAAACTGAAGAATAATAGAGTGGATGCCTAATGCATTGAGTGAGGTAAAGCATAAAACTAAAAGACATCCATTCTATAACTTATTTTGTCAAAGTAAAAAAAAATGGCGATAGAATATTAATGAACAATTTTAAACCTTGTTCCTGCTTATATTTTATTATTATTCCACTATGAATAGAGATTGAGGGTTGGTATATTTTTACATTTATTTGATTTAAAATTAATCAGCTAGCAACAGCTTAAATAGTAAGATTTGACATTTGAATGCGAAGGATTCCAAATGTATTCTAATTTATCCATGACACTTGGGGTGTCATTGAAAGTATATTCTAAATGGTAAGATTTGCAAGCAAAGGATAGCTTCCAAATATATTCTAATTTATCCATGACATTGGGATATTATTGAAAGTTTATAAAAGCTTTAAATTGATTCTGATACTTTAATTTCAAATTCATCGAATTACTATTCAAGCAAATATTAAAAAACTCTTCCGTAGAATAAAAAATGCTGTTTATGTTTAATCAAAATTAAGGTCAAAATGTAAATAAAAAATAAAATATCAATGTAGTAATTTAGGTTTTAGAGAGTTTGGAAGTTTGATTTCTTATTTATTAGGCGAAAAATTCACAGTGCCTAATATTTCCCTGAAACAGTTTTTTTTTGTTAGAAATTCCCTTTAAAACTATGGCACCATTTTTTTTAGTAGCAATAACTTTCTTAAAGTATTTTTAAAAAGTAAAGTTTGAACATTTTAAAAAGTAAAGCTTGTGCGTTTCAAAAAGTAAAGTTTAAATTTTTTTTTTGATAATAATTTTTGCTTTAACAAAGAAAAAATATTCATTTGATTTTACACAAACATTTTATTAACATAAAAACAAAATATATTGAAAAAGTAATAATTTATGAAATTAAATTTAATGTCCCACTTTTAAACTTAAGAAATTCAAACGAATAAAGAAAGAAATCGACATTTTAAGTTATTTGTGTATTTAACATAGCAGAAAATATTTTTTTTCATTTCAAGTTATTACGGCATCAAAAATTAAAAAATGTGTTTCAACAAACTTTTAAAAAAGCATATTTTTATTATTTACTTGCTAACTTACTTTTCCATCTTTCTTATGCCTTATTTGTCCAAATCTACTTTCCTATTTAGCAACAACAATAGTTAGGAAATTGAATAGTTTTTTTAATTAGTCAAAAACTTTGACGAAACCTCGTTTGAGCGTTCTCTTATTATAATATCCTATACTAATACTCCTAAGTGTAAATATGCCGTTTTATAAAATCAACCACATTTTAAAATCAAATTACTTTAGAACAAGTAAGATTCTAATAAGTGAGTTAACAATTTCTTATAAGAATTTTACTCAAATCTCATCTTATTAGAATCTACTTATTACAATCTATTTAAGCAAATGGAGGTAATCAGATAAAAGAGGTTCAGTCAGACAATCAAGAAATAACTCAGTTTAAAATAACTGTACCTTTTTTAAATGAGAAGGCTTCTTTAATTTTGGCTTTTCTCTCTCTTTGCCTCTTTTAACAGCAGGTTTAGAAGAATCTAAAGGATTTACAGTTTGGTTTTTAGCCTAAAAAGGAATAAATTTTGTTACGATGTAAAATTCAAAATAAAGAAGAAACAGAGAGTCTGTGTTTGTATATATATATACATACATATATATATATAAGTTAAAAAAAATAGAGAAAACATGGAATATAATAAAGATTAATGGAAAGAGAAGGAGAAAAATTATTAAACTAAGATATTAAAAAAGCTTTTATTTATTTGAAAAAATAATATTCAAAAGCTGAAAAACCAAATCTTGAAAAGATATAATCTCTTCATCAGCTCCAACGATTATATCAGCAAAAAGGAGTGCTTTCTAATATTGTATCAATATAGCCAAAGCTCAATATATATCATCATAATAGTGTGAGGAGCACTATTATAATTAATCTTTATTATTTTCCCTGTTTCTCTATATTTCAATTTTATATACGTGTATATATACACACACATTAATAAATCAACTTACAGATAAGAAAGATGACTTTTTCCCTTTTGCTGCAGAGGTAGGGACACCAAAAAGAAATTTATTGTTTCTATCAGGATTTTTCTTCTTAGTCTGAAATAAATTCAACTCATCAGCATTACTGGCACCAATAACATTTAGAAAGAGCAGTAAAACTTTGTAACAACTTTTAAATAGATGTATGATATTTGCAGTGTTGAAATATTTTTTACCAGAGCCCAAATCACCACAAGGTTGAGAGAGAACAGAATCTAAAACTTTTAAAGATAGTTTTTGATTAACAATTATCAAAGCAATCTGATATAAGATTTTTTACTAAAGTTTCTTTACTTTTATTTTATTGTAAACTCAGTAGCTTTTCTCTATATTTACGAAAAAACAGCTTTCTAAATATTTTTATTTGCATATTTATTCTTACTTTTTCTTTCTAAAATCCAATTTACAATATATAAGAGATTTATGAATTTTTAATAAAACTTATACATGGAGCTGCTGTGAAAAATTTCCATTCTAAGTTTTAGATTTCTTCTCTATTGATCACTATTTCTAGAAAAAGCTATAAGAGAAAAAAACATTGTGATCGTAGTTTTAAAAATAGAAATGTAGGTTATATAGATGGCTAATTTTGGAATTCATTAATTGCTTTAATCTAATACAATTGCTTTTAAACTTAGCATGTAAGGAAAGTTAGGTTCCAATGTGGTAGTATGAGTATTAGAAGTTAATTATATTTTATTCTATCGCCAGCATTTGAACATCTGACACAAATCTGAGTTTATGACTATCAATGTACGACTCCGTTGAAATTTTGAACCCAATCCAGAAGACAAGGGAACCCCAAGATCAAGTATTAGGACCAACTAGCCTTTGCATAGGACTTTTTGATGGTGCTAACCTCCCATTTACATTACGTGTTGATAAAAACCACGAAAATTCCCTAAGGTTAGCCCGACGCTGGATTCTAACCAATGATTCATCTACCACTGAGGGTATTTTACGCCTGCACTGTGGTTGGTGTGAGCCGGGAACAGAATTCATATTGATCAGCTGGCGTTGGGATTCAAACCTGGGTCACCTCATTGGGAGGCAAATGCTTTATACGCTGAGCTACAACAGCTTATTATGGTAATTTATTAAAAATAAAATTAAGATTATATTGTGAAAATCAGTAATGATATAATCATTAAAGTTCCAGAACCACATTCTGCCTCACTAAAAGTTCCAGTCTCACTACACCCTCGAATATTTTTAATTAAAAGGTTTATTATTCACTAAAAAAATAAATACTATAAACTCTATCCTTTTCTTAAGAATCAAATTCTATCCTCTTTTTAATTTCCACCTATAAAACAGCTGCAAATGGTTCTTTGATTTCAGAACAAGTACCCCCAGAGGTTTAATTTGTTATGGAGACATGGAGAACTTTGGGACCCAACAGATTTAACGTGTACCCGTAACCATTTACTACACTAGAAGCCTTTTACCGGCTGGATTCGAACTCCCATTCTCACGAATGAGAGTTCCGCACCCTGCCAACCAAGTTGGTGGTTTAATATTAAAAAACATACATAAAACTATGTCAATCGGAGCATTATTCAGATTTAACGAAGAATCTGAATAATATAATAAATAATTCGTACCTAAAAAATAAATAATTGTTTTCTAAAAAGTCAAATTATTAAAATAAAACAATCAACACGTTAGTTGATAGAATCAATCATTAATCACATTAAAAACCATACCAAGAATCAAACAGTTTAAATATTATTGCAATTAAGGAAACAAGCATGTCATTTATTTTTTAACATTTAAAGAATGAAGTCAAACCAATCTTGACAGAATGAGGGAAGATAACTTTTGAACTTCAATGACACGGAAGCCAGAAATGTGCAAATTGAGGAAAACTCTTTTTTCCACACTTTATTAAAGCACATCAGTTAATCTGCAGATTAGCAAGGTAATTTGTGCAGTAATGGCTTTCTATCTTATGAAGAAAAAGGTTGCCACTCAAATCTGGAAGAAAAAAAATTCCCTGTGTTTTTCCTATACTACATATTATACGCAATATATTAAGAGGAAACAGAATTACTGTGCTCTTGTGTCTGCTATATTGGGCTAACTATACAAGTTTTAATTGCTAGAAAAACTCAGAGAAAAAAAAAAGGAGCAGCTGAACATACTTAAATAATGCCATAGTAAATGAAATAGTTTAGCATAACTGATATATCATCTATAAATGTCCACGATTGCTCAGGGGATAGCGCGTTAGCTTTCCAATTAGGTGAACCGGGTTCGAATCCCAGTAATGGCTACGAATCCAGGCTTGCACCGACCACAGTGCTGACGTGAAATATCCTCAGTGGTAGACCGATCATGGGTTAAAGTCCCTATGCAGCCAGGCTAAATGTGGGAGGTTCTCTTCCTCTCCCTGTAACGCAAATGAGGGTTAGTTCCATCAAAAAGTCCTCCACAAAGGCAAGTTTCACCCAATACTTGATTCAGGAGTTCTCTTGTAATTCTGTATTGTGCTCAAAATTACAAGGCTACGGAGTTGGACATTAGTAGTCGTAAACCCAAAAACTGTGTCGGCTGTTGAACGATGGTTATAAAATAAAATGTAAAATAGATTGCGTTTTGAGTGGTCACCATATTTTTAAAGGCGAAAATAAGAAACAAAATTCACATAAATTTTTTTTGTCCTTTATAAAAAAAAATTGTATACAAAATTTTTAAAATTTTTTTGTTTGTATAATAAAACTCAAAATTCCCTGTTACTTTAGGTGATTTTTAAATTCCCTGTATTTTCCAGGTTTTCCCTGTTAAGTGGCAATCCTGAGAAATATAAAAACTATTAGTGGAGATTAACAAATGATGATAAACCCTTAAGTGTACTAAAATAAAAGATAAAGATACCTTGTTATTGATGATGTCAAATAGAGATATAGTAATAGGATCATTATGGCGCAAGGCTACTTTTTCGGTTTCAGGCGTGCCTTCTTCCACATCACTTAGACTCTTATTTTTGTCACCACCTGAATAGGAAATTAAAACTTTTAGTATAAAATATAATAATAAAGATGATAAATGTAAAAAAGGAGTTTACATAGAGGTGTCATTAAAATGTACAACTGTTTATAGATCCAGCGTTTTTCTATAGCTTTTGCTGCCAACATTTCAGTAGTTAAGTTGTTAAGCGCAGAATTTAACTTTCAAAATCTCAGAAAACTGCATATAAACATATTTTCATCCAGGGTATGTAGCCAGATTTTTCAACAAAAAATAAGCACANAAAAAAAAAAAAAAAAAAAAAAAAAAAAAAAAAAAAAAAAAAAAACATCATTTGTGCAGAAATCTGTAGTAATCATAATCTCTGCAGTAATAAATTTTTCTTCTTCTATCCTTTAAAGTTCTCAGTTTATAAAAATAAAATCAATAAAATTGAAAACCATTTTCAAAAACTTTACATTATAATGATAAAATAACTAGTTTCTGATAAATATTGCAGAGGAAATACGAATATCATGTATTTTTTGTAATTTAGAACGAAAATCGACACGGCAAAGAAAAAAATCTGTGATGCTTGCTTCTGAAAAAAATCTGTGATGCTTGACTTCAGTGTTCTACTGGGAACCGTGTCTTTACGATCAGTCCACTGCCAGACTAAGAGCATTAGAATTAATGAAATTTTTTTTTAAAAAGACAATTAGAATTTTGCTACCTTAGGAGATTGTAACCGCTTAATGAATTAGTTTTTCTTGTAGCCTACAAACAGCTAATGGTTCTTGATTAGTTTTAGAAATTTCTTCAATATGATTTTAATTTTTTACATCAGGGTTGAGGGTTTGGATGTCCTAAACTGGTTTTGGACCACGGTTGGCAAGTTTCTGCCGAGGTGGTTAAAACCACTGGTAGAAACCGGTTAAAACTGGCATGGCAGAAACCCTTTTTTGCCACATTTGAGGCAGAAATTCAGAAAATGACATAACAGTTAAGCACTGAGATTGACATACAATGGATAATTCATAGAAAAAACATTTAAATGTTAAACAAAGTGACCAGTGAAATTGCTGCTTACATTTATGAATCAGTAAATTTAACCAATTATATTACCTCTTACATACAGCAAAGATTAAAACTGTTACTGTTATAATAATTGGATTGTTGCCATACAAATTATATCTTGAAAAAGAAAAAAAAAAAACTATTTGAAAGTAGCTCTATTCATTTACATTAAGAGTTAAATGATAATAATTACTGAATTTCAGAGTTTAATATAATAAACTAAAATCTAGCATTTATATTTATTATTACATTACTTTCTCCTTTATTTTATATAAATATTTGATATACTGCACTGCACTCCTTATATTTAATGTAAACAAAATAATATATATTTACAAACAATGAATTAAGAAGCTTGTTACAGTTACATTTTTCAGTTTACTTAAACAAAATGTCATTAAGCAATTACTAGAACTAATATAGAAGTTTTTTTAGTTTCTGTTAGTTTATGCCGGTTTTTAATGGTTATAACCAGTTTCCGCCACTGGCATGGCAAAAACCAGTTTCTGCCGGCAAAAAAGGCAACTCTGTTTTGGACAGAACACGTGGGTTTTACTGTCTTAAACTCTCCTTTGATTAAACTGCCCGAAGCTGTCTTAAAGTGTCCAAAACTTTGAACTTTGGTAAAAGGAAAAAATTCTATAGGTGTAATTATTGCACACATAATAATTACATATATTAATAAATATTTGATACTTTTTATGCAATTTGCTTTAACTTATTAAAGGAGAATAATGTAATAAGAAAAGATTTATAACTTTTGTTGTTGTTGTAGTTTATTTACGTTGCACTTGAGCTGCACAATGGGCTATTGGCGACGATCTAGAAAACATCCCTGAGGATGATCCGAAGACATGCCATCACAATTTTGATCCTCTGCAGAAGGGATGGCACCCCCGCTTCGGTAGCCCGACGACCTGCGCGCAAAGTCGAGCACTTTACGGTAGCACAGTTTAACGAGGACCAATACCGCACACCCTCGGTCCCTACGCAGACTGATCCAAGTGGTCACCCACCCGCACACTGACCGCAGCCAGTGATGCTTGACTTCGGTGATCTGCTGGGAACCGTGTCTTAACGATCAGTCCACTGCAGGACTTATAACTTTTGAAGCTCCACATTTCATTGAACAACAAAAGTGGATATCTTATCCCTTTAAATATGAATAAATATGCTTTTAATATTGATAAATTATGTTCTTGTATATGGATAAATAATGCAATATTATAAATAATAATAAATTTGTTTTTTAATAAAACAAAAATTTGTCTTCATTCTGTTTTTTGTTCAAAAATTAACCTTTTATTTTTCACAATATTTTTTTTTTAAATTGTGACATAATTTGAATAAAAGGGTTTTGGACAGTTCAAGACAGTTTTGGGCAAAGGGTTTTTGGACAGGACGGCTTAAACCCTGGTTTAAATCGTGGATTAATCCATTCTGTGCTAAGCCTTGCCAACTCTGGTTTACACCCAAAAAGTTAATGTGGTTTATGGAGAATTGCATTCTTAAATATTTTACTTCGGTGACGGCAGTCTAATTTGGAAAAAAAATTCCCTGTGTTTTCCCTGTATATATTATACACAATATATTAAGAGGAAACACAGCAGTCACTGTGCATATGTGTGAGCTATATTAGGATAACTATATTTATTAGTTTTCACTGCTGGAAAAATTGAGAGAAACAAAGAACAGTTCAACATACATAAAAAAATAATAATACAGCAAATGAAATAGCATAGTATAGCTGAGCTATCTTTAAATAATCCATAATTTGCACTTCAAGAGATTAACATTTAGTAAAAAAAGAAAATAAGAAATAAAAATTCCCTGTATTTTCCCACTTTATAAAGAAAAATTCCCTGCATTTTCCCTGTTTTCTCTGTGGAGCGGCAAAACTGTGTGTATATGTAGGAGGCTTGCCTGGGGTGGTTTCACGCTTTATTTAAGTTTCTCACATGCCACTTCCCAGTTATGACCAAAACTTAGTGTCTATTTTGATCCAGGTATCGATACAAAAACTTTTCCTATTACAGGGTGCGTGTGCCAAATCTTTCAACAAAAAATAAGCACCTTTTAAGTACTTTTTAAGCACTATATACATTAACAAAATAATTTTCAAAAACTTCATATGATCCTGATAAAATAACTACGTAGCTTCTGACAAAGAACTCTTTTCTTGATTATATTAGCCAACATATAAATATCGAAAGATTTTTCGATTCAATTTCAGAGGGTGGAAAATGAAGCATGAAATCGAGAACATCTTGCTAAATGCAGCAGGAGTTGCATATGAGAGTGTTAGAGTCGCACCAAACATAGCTCAGTAGATGCACATGCGGACTCTCACAAGCATTTCATTGCGTAAAATTGTTGGCACATTCATATGTTATGGACCGACGGTACGCTGAAATGGATTGTGGTTAAATAAATTGTGAAAATGTTGAATGTTGCGAAAAGCAACGCTTTTGCATAATATGTCGCGAAAAGCGACAATTTCATTTTTGAAAAGGGAATAAATCACTTTTTATAAAACCCTATTAAAAATAGCTCCTTTAAGGGCTTTTAAAAACGAAAACTGAAAATAAGCACTTTTTAAAAATGCTACGCACCATGTATTATTAAAAAAATATGAAATTAAATTATTAATTTAGTAAAATAAAATAAAAGCAAATGCTTTTTATCACATACCAGTAGGAAATAAAGAACTTTTGTTAGGTGATCCACTGGTACTTATATTGGTTTCTTCCTAAAATATAAAAGCATAAAAGATACTTAATTGCTTTTAAGAAATAAATTTAATATCAGAAGGTACCAAGTGTTCAAAACTTAATTGGTATTAGGCAATTAACTTTCATAACTTATTTTTAATCAATTAAGAACTTACACTTTTCACTTCTACTTCTTTATCAGCATGTACAACTTCACTATAAAAATATTGTTTACCACAATCAGCCTTTGCACCCAATTCCGGATACTCACTGGCATTATTGATATTTAAAGTCACATTTTTCTGAGTTTGTGTGTTCGACTCAGAGCTTAGTTTTAAAATTTTGTCAAAAACATTGTGGGAAATCAATTGAACTTTATCCCGTTGTAGACCTGCCTGACGTTTCAGCTTGCTTTTTCTTTTCTTTTTAGTTGTTTTATCGAACCTTACGCCAATCGATTCATTTTGCGTAACAGATTGTGGATTATCAGATGTTTTTTGTGTATTAGTCAGGTTTGAGTTACTACAGTTAGGCATTTGTTTGTTTTTAAGTGTAATGTAAGGACGATTGTGACAAGACTTTAAATTAGATTTGAAATGGCCAGGATCAGTATTCTTTGGTGCAAATTTTGGGTCACATTTTTTCAGGCGTCCTTGATTATCAAGCAATTTATCATTTGTGCATGTTCCCAGCAACACAGAACTTTGCTGTTTAAAGCTAGATCCCCTTTGAAAAGATTCTGGCACATTCTTTTTACTTTCATTATTCTTGTAACGATTTTCAGAACTACCTGTTTTTAAAGTTTCTGATATAACATTTCTTTGATGACTAATTTTATGGGCAGATGATTGAGGTAGAAAATTCTCAGAATTTATATTATTTTGAAAGTCTGCCTTACTTTTATATTGGGTTAAATTGTTTGGTTTATGTTCCATAAAAGATTTGGACCTAACAGAATGTTTATCACTGAAATCATTCCTCAATCTAAATAAATCATTATTACCATTCAGTGCATTTTTGGGTGATGAATTTTTGGTACTAAATAAATTCCTGTTTTGTCTGTCATTTCCACGACTGGCACTGTTCTTCGATCTAAATTGATCTTCATTATCATTCATTGTTTCCTTGATTGAGAAATTTTGGGCACTTAATTTATTCTTGTTTTGTCGGTTATTTACATGACTGGCACTATTGTTTGACCTAAATTGATTTTTATTATCACTATGAGTTTCATTAAATGCTGCACAAGATTCATTTTTGCTTTGTCGGTTATTTTCTTGATTAACTCTCTTCTTTTTAACAACTGTCCATGCTGAGCTGATATCAGATTTAATCTCGGAAAAATCAAGATCATGAGAGGCAGAATTTTTAGAAAAAGAATTTGTTGAGTCAAATGTTTTACTAGTTGACTCATAAGGCTTTCTTTTCTGTTTTGTAGAACACAGCTTATCTGAATCTGGCCTTTCATTTTTAGTTTTGGAAGCACTGGTAGTAGTAATGTCACGTTTTTTATTTACAGTAGCATAACTCTCTTTTTGTTTAGGCACTTCAGAATGTAACACAGTTTTGAGTCTAGAAGAATATGAAGAGGAATAAGTACTAGCTCCAAGAGTGTCATCAACATCATCAGATAATGAAGGGAATTCTTTGTCGTACAAATTTACTCTTGTTAAGTTCTTTTTTTGAGACATTTGTAAAATCAGTTCCTTCTTAGTAGTTAAATCATACCTAAAAATAAAGACAGTAATTAATTATTACAAGACATTTCTAAAATTAGTAAAAATTTGATAAAACAAAATTAAAATGTAGTGTATCAAATAAGTATTAATGCCACAGTAAAAACTTTCAATATTTATTTTAAATCATTATTGAAAAGTTTTAAATCAAAGTCAGTGGTTTAAACTACAATTTACATGAATGGCAATAAAAAAGGCAACTTTGCATATTTTATGCAAATTTTCAGAGATAGGAATAAAAATAATATATTTTTAAAGAAATAATTTCACTTTTTAAAAACATTCACAATTTTAATTATTAGTTTTTCATTTAACCTCCTATTGACAATGATTAGGTAAAATAATTTTTTATGATTTTAAAAAGTTAAACTTATAGACTTTTTTGGATACTTGTTTAAAATCATGTCGGTTATTTTCCCTAAAACTAAAAAATGGCATTAAACAACCTAATTATCCAGAACAATAGAAAATTACCATTTTACTGCATCAGCTGGCATGCCAGAATAAGGATACTGGAGGATAACCAGACGATAAGGAAGTATACAATATCAAGACAAACAGCATGATTGCGGTAATGTGGTCAGCCAGTATTATGCATTGGCCGTCATTATTTCCTCATAGTACCTATCAATCTGAGGGGATATTTTGTATCATGATCTGTCGCACCAATTACAATTGCCAAGGTGCCAAATATATTTTAAACTTGCAAAATTTAAAAAAAAAAAAGATGTAAATGTTTGGTTGGTGGTGGTTACGAGTTATGCCTTTCGAGTTGATCCCTTTCTGTGATGATTTTCTCAGTTTCTTGCAGGGGCCACGGCCCAGAAGTTTCCAAGACTTGACTGTTATTCTGCCACAGATCATATGACGTTTATTCTGCCAAGATGATCGATCTCTAGGCTTTCACAATGTCAGCTCAGTGCCTTTAACCATTGAAGCGGCAGAACTTATTTAACAAATAAAAATTAATCTTTGTAATAAATAACAAAAATTAATCTAAGATAAATTATAACAAATAAAAATTAATCTCTGATAATAAATATTAATTCTTTGGTTCGGCAAATTATGCCTAATATGTATTATCTTTTAAAGTAAAAATTTGATATGCATTGTTATTTACTGAAATAATATCATTGAAAGCATACTAAATTATCTAATAAAAGCATATATCTTTCCTAACCTAACACTTTCTCTTGTTACGTAAGTTTTTAATTTGAAAGTTTGAGTTATGATAACTAGAAGGCAGGTGACATTCTGTTTTCTGAATTGAAAATGTGGCACAGCGTAAACCGGTTAATTGATAGATAAAGATACGTCGCTTTTATAAATGGTTAAGGGTCACCCTCTGACAATTTCATTTAATGTGCGCAACATGACATCTTTTTTTCCTTCATGTCTCCACTTTATTTTTATTATCAAGGAAATTAATGATCGCCAGAACAGATATTAAAAACTGAAATCCCAATACATTGGCCAAATTATACATATACATAAAATAATATGTATTTTTAGTAATTTCAATCTTCAAGAATAAGGTCACTTTCCTTATAAAACTACAGACTAACATAGAATATATTTTATTAACGAAATCAAATGTGAATAAAATATAAAATAAATAAAATATAAATAGACTTGCATCTTACTCATTATATCTGCTAATACTCGGAGTTTTTTTGCGTGAAAGTCTCTTATCTAGATTTTTCTTTTTCCATATTATTTACTAACATTTATTTACTAAATACGTTTCCGGTTGCCTATTTTGTTTCAGTTTGAGAGCTATTTGAATCCTTTGCGAATATAATTGAAAATAGTGGTATGTTACTATTACAAACATGAGGCCAGGTGAAAAGTTTGTTCAAATCTAGTATCCGTGATTTCTGTCTTCTGATTGGGTAACTAACACATAAGAAGTTTAGTGTTAATAAGTCGTAGAAATAAATATGAAAGCGGGATCACTTTTTTTTATGGGCGGAGCTATATTTTGCTTATTCTCCAAATCACCAATCACATAGTTAGTCCATTTCGTTGCTTTTCATTTTTATCATAATTCAGGCCCTTGTGTGAGTGAAGTTCATTATTTTTTTTATATGTATTTAAATTATGTCGGTAATGTATATGAAAGTTTACAAGATGAGTTTATTCGATTAACGGGACTACTAAGTTTATTAAACATGTATTAGTGCTTTATATTAAAGATTTTGTTGTGACACTTTTTAGTCATAGTCATTATATATGTATCTATAAGTTGATCGCGTATCTCCGGCTTAATTTGAGTTGGTACTGCTGTGTACTGAAAGTGTTCGTCGAAAATAAAAATTAATAATTGTTATAATACTGTAAGTTAAAACAGAGTGAAAATCACTGGTAGAAGTACCTCTTTTATGTATATGAAATTTATTGACTGAATTTTCTACTGTACAATCGTTGTATCGTAATTTCCTTAGTTGTGAACTTTTATTGCTTTTAATTTTTTATTTTATTTTATGACCCCTTAATTATAATATCTTTTTAACGTTGTATTGAAGATTTTTAGGCATTTTGGAGATTTTTTATACAACAAATCTTAAACTTAAAAATTTATAGGGCTAGGCTGGGGGAGGGGGATGGGGGCTAAAATTTTGTTTTCGGATACGAACTTTCCAATTGCATTAAAAAAATTACTTAAAATTTGTGAAAAAAATTTTACATAGTAATGTTTTTTGTTAATTGATATAGGTGTGTTCATTAAATTTGTTAATTAATTGCTGAGAATTTAATTAAGGTGTTGTGAGCAACCTTTACCATGCCTTGTTTGTGTTCGATATTTTGGTACATTTATCAATATTATGAAATCGATTTATTTTTTTGACATAAAAATGTAAATAAATTTTGCTTTAATGTTTCGTTCAGTTTTGTTTATTTTGAATAATAGACTCATGGCCACAACAAGCCCTTTAAATGACTATTGAGCCTACTTAGCATTATTGTTATTTTTAATCTTAAATTTTATCATTCATTATTTATTGTTATTTGATCTTAAATTCTTACCCCTTGTGTGAGTACCCATTTGTGGGTCTATGTATCCGAAAAGTAAGTTATTAATTGGAAAAAAATAGATAGACCCCTAGTCTCAATATTTACCCCAGATCCCTAACACTTTTTTAAATAAATTATGGCAAATCAAGTGTGTCATTGAAACGCATATGTATTTTAAAATTGTAATTATTGGTAAACAGTAATTTAAAAATTTTCTAAGTGTTCTAAGAAATAAATATTTGATAAAAGAGGGAGTCCCTTTCAGGCTTTCTGCTTTTGAGTGGGTTAATTCGTAAGCTTTTGGCCTAACTGCTTGAGATTGGCTTTATAGAGTCAATTGAAATTTCCATATTTGTTTTGAAATATTAATTCTTGTTCTTACTGCATTTAGTATATAAATATCTAATAAAAAAAAATTAAAAAGACTTTTTACCTAAGGTCACTATTCTGCTTACTTAGTATTACTGAATGATTTGATGAGATAAAAGCTCTGAATTTTCTTAAAAATTAAATATTTAATACATAATGTTGGGCACTAAACTTATGGATTTAAATAAAACTTGAAGAACTAAAACCATGAGTAGGTAAATAAAAGAGCCGGGTGAACAGCGAAAAAAATGAAACTTACTAATACCTTAATATTTTTGTTTAAAGGTTGAGGAAAAGTGTTTTTTTAAGAAATTTTTATATTGAAAGTTTTTGGTCTATGAGCCATAGGTTGTGCATCTCTGATTTAATTCAACTAAAACATTTTGTTTGAGAGGATAGTGCAACACTATAAGTGTAATTACTAAGAAAATTTTCTGAAGTAAAAATCCTTGTAATCTGTAATATTTTCAATACTATCTGTAAAAGTATTATAAAAGTTTCTGCTTTACTTATACTAAAATATATCAATCAATTAAATACCTAATTATAAAGGTTTAAAATTTTTAGTGAAAATATGAATAGGTGATTATCCAGTATTTTGTAAAATTGATTTTTAAATACAAATAAAAGATAAATTGCTAAATATTTTATTACATGCTAAGTTACAGGGAAGATATAAAAAAATTGGATATTTTATAAATATCACTTTATTTCTTAAAATTTGTCATATATATGTATAAAAATATTTAAAAAAATTTATTTAAAATTTTTTTTAAAAAAAGCTGGAGAACAAAAGAAGGAAAAGATATAATCTCTTTAGCTATATATCTTACATAGCTATATATCTTTGTTATGATATATTTTGCTTTGGCTGTATTAAAAGGCTCTTATATTTGCAGATATAATCGTGTGAGCTGATGATGAGATTATATTTTTTTCTGTCTTTTTAAATTTTTATTAAATAAAAATTTAAAAAAATAATTATTTTTAAAAATATTTTGTTTTGATTGTTTTCTTCTCTTTTCATTAATCTTTATTACATTATTTTCCATGTTTTCTCTATATCTTCAATTAATTTTATGAGTTTTATATACTTGCAGCTTATGAGCTGTAAATAAAACGTAACTAACTTAATTTTCTTCGTTTTTCTATCTTTTTTTAAAAAATCCTTTTTGTCTTTATGGTGCTGTATATATATTATATTTGGCCTAAATTAGCGAAAGCACACATTGAATGTTTGATTCAGAAATTAAAACTTAATTTGATTATTGTTTGATTTATATTTAAATTTTTAATTTACTTGTAGCAGTCAGGACAAAATTAATTTATTATTCTTATTTCCAATGTGCATCAAATCAATTAAGGATTATAGAATTATAATTCTTTTAGTTCTATATTGTATGAATATCATCAGAAAAAGAAAATCTTAATTAAAAACAGTAATAGATCTTACATTTTGTTCGTTATCATAATTTGTATAATGCTTGTATAAAGAATGATTAACTATAATTATTTTAATAACTTTAACAAGATTTTATTTTCTCTCCGATTGTTTACTCTCTTTAAAAGCATTGACTGATTATCTATATCATTGTTTTTTTTTTTTTTTTTAAAATTTGTTAATTATCAGTGTTAACTAAAATAATATACAATAATAATAATTATTGATTTTATTTTGCATTTATATAATTTTGATATGAGATACTTGTAATAATCCTTTTTAAAATGTGAATTGTAAAGGGGTTTTATTTTTATCTATCAATTTATTTATTTTTACTCTATAACATGAGAAATTCTTGCATCAAATTAATTCTGATACATCCTACAAAAGATAAGATTAGATTTTGATTGATAAATTAGATTTTAGCGCTTTTATGTTTGAACCTTTTATTGCATTTTGTTCGATAGTTTTATTTTTCATTTGTTAATATTTACTTATTTATTATTTTTTCAAATATAGGTTGAAAGAAAAATAATGCATATCTTTGAAGGAGAAATATCAGGAAATTGAAGCACAAAGTTGAAAAATCCTTGTGGTAACTTTGTAGAGTTGTTAATTTTGTCTTAAATTTTGTTATTGTTATCTAAGTAATTTTTGTAAAAATTATTATTTTAGTATATTGTTTTGATATAGTTAATATTTTGCATTTTTTTATTTTGCTTTTCTTCCTGTTTACTGCTTTATAATTTTCTAAACACTGTGAGTATTTTTCTAAAAGATACTTATTACAAACTCAGGATGGTAGAAAAAATTGAAATAAATGAAAATTAGAAAAATGGTGTCGAACTCTAAATGATCACAAAGAATTAATTTCAAATAAATGAATTTTATTTACATAATATTATTGAATATTATGTTTTTATGTACATAAAAATGGATTTTAAAATACAAATCCTGGATCAGTCTCTGCTGGGTGAAAACATACATGAGATTTTTCTTTAGGTCCTGGATTCTACTGTTTTTTGTCATTTTCTTCTTCTTTTTATCCGACCTTTTTAATCATTCTTCGATTTATGTGATATTTCTGAGAATGCTGTAAAATATCTATATTGTCAAAAATGTTCTATCGTGCATTTTTCAAAATGCATGGAAACAAACTAAAATCTTGAAAAATTAATTTTTTTCAGTGACATGGTAAAGATTGGCATAAGATTTTTCAATATGGATTATTTGGTGATCATTCACTTATTAATTTCTGTTTAGCTATAAGTTTTCTCAATTAGACTGAAATTACAATGGAGTGTTTTGCTTTCAACGTCTTTCATATTTATGTCAATAGTTTTGTGTAACGTAAGTTTGATAATAAAAAAAAAGGCATATTTTTAAAATTCGATTTCTCATGAACTTTTCGACCAATTTTACACAAATTTTGTATTTTGCCATTTAAAATTGCATTCTAAAAATAAATTGTATACCTCACAAAAATATTACAAAATATTCAAATTATTATCTATACAAAAATATTTAATTACTAAAAGTTATTTTATCCATGCAGTTATTTTTTGACAGACAAATTTTATGATTATGTGTAAAAAAATTTCAATTTGCTTGAAAATTTCTCGAGATATGGTAATGGCAAAATACGCAAAAAAATTGAAATTGAATTGAATTCCATGATAGTTTGTTCTTAATACCTTAACACACCTATTTGGATAGAAGTGGATTACTGACTATTTTAATAAAATTGAAATAACATATATAATTCTAATACAGGTAACATATAATATCTTATAATGTTCTTGTTTTATACTCCATGGAAACTGTATATTTCATGAATCACTCTGTATATATGTATGTGTATCTTAACATTTTGAAATTTTAAAACATTGTTATTGCTATTAAAAGTAAGTAAAGCTTTTAATTTTAACCTGAAAATCTTAAGGATTTTGGTTGTCTGTTTAATTAAAACTTAATGTTACTAACATTCCATTATTTCAATGTGATTAAAACCTTTTTTAAATGTTATATTTTCCGATCGTATATCTATTAGTGATATGATTTATAAATTCTCTTGTTTCAGATTTTGAAAAAAAGCTTGCTTTGAATTATGTTGTGTTAATGATAGATACTTTTAATAGTAGATTTGATACTTTTCATTCAATGAAGCTTCAATTAAACTGTTGAAATTCACAACACAAAACATTATTCTTAATTGTCTTTCATACACATTCTTTTAATTTTTATATCACAATTTTTTATCTATTTTTCCAAAAATCTTGCTTATAAGCACTTGTATCAATTTTTCTCAATAAATTGAAAATCTCTTATCTTTTATACCAATTATCATTAATACAAATATCTTTATTGTTTACATTTATCTAGTTGCAGTTAAAAAATAATGCTCATAAAAAGGAAGAATATAAAATAACACTGTCATAGAAGCTTATAATGCTATTAAATTAAATTTTTCTTTTATATTTTTAGCATCTTATTTGAAGGAGGCCTGTTTCTTTTGAAAGATGAATTCTGAAATAATCCCTAAAGCAAGGTAAAATTTTAATTATTGGTTACTGGCATGTTAAATAATAAGCACTTTCAGCCATTAGAGTAGTTATGGGGTAAAACAGCTCTTGAAATAGCAGCCCTGGTTTGATTTTTAAAAATGAAGTAATATAGCTGTTCATTGTTGGAATTATGGATTGCTAAGTTGGTTTTTAAACAGGGGCTTTTTTGGCCCCAAAAAAGTGTGTCGTTATGTCTATGAAGCTATTTAAAGCAGGGTATGGAATTTCGGTTGTAAATATACAAGCCTGACTACAATTTTTGTTTGTCACTATTTTACATTCGTGGAAGATATGAACTGACATGTTAAAGTGTTAAAAGATGCTGCACAAAAAACATTTTGGTGATCAAAACTGTAAAAAGATTGTAGAAACTTAAAAATCGAAAGACATTTATTGCAGTCATATTAATATTAAATCAAAATAATGCACACTCGAGATTTCAACATTAAATCAAATTATGCACTCTTGAGATTTTAATGTTTCAAAAAGCAATGGCTTCCTAGGTGATTGAGCATTTTTGTTCCATATTTTATTTATTAAGGCACAATAATTTAAACATGATTAGTTTAGATATGAACAATATTTAAAATATTTAAAGATGCAGCACAAAAAACTTAAACATGATTACTTGATTTTATTACTTAACATTTTAAAAGATGAAACTTACATGCTAGCCTTAAGTATTTGATCATCAGTAAAGGGCTGGTCAGTGTAAATTTCAGTCTTGATTTGAAATATAGAATATTTTTGATACAGCAGTTTTTTCTTACTTTAAATATACTTGAACACTTATTAAAAATTAAAATTTAAGATTCTTATAGCTGCTATAGCTTTTATTAATTTTTAAGCTGCTTAGCATTGTTAACATGAAACTGCTACAATTTTTTAGTTTTGAACAAAAGAATGGCACAAATTTATTTGCTTAAAGTAAACAAATTATACTATCATTGTTCTCCCTCAGCATTTATAGAAGAACGGCCCACCCTGCCTGCCTTTTGATGCACCCTCTTTGCTCTTTTTGTAAAAATAAGCTCTAAATACTCAAATCTTTGAGCAGAATAGACCTCACAATCACAAAGTATATGTCACCTCCTCAAGATGACAACTTCAACTAAGAGAATCAGATTCAATACCCATATTGTATAGGATGTCTCCTGAGGCTGCTGCAATAACCTGTGAGAAAGCCAATGATTTTCTTTTTAACCTTAAGAAGCTCTTTTTGACGCACAGTAGGGCAGTCACAATTTAGCTTGTCTCTGACCATTGGAGGTGCGCCATTGCTCATGGGCAATCTTGCCATAGAGCTTGAATATAGATGACCTGAAGGATGTAAATCTACCAAACAATTAGTTAATTTGTAATTTATCTGTTTTCCTTGTTGAAGTTGAGCCTTCTATGCTTGAAAGTGCATAAGTTAAAGGAATATGCAAGTACTGGTCAGATTGCTGCTGGTCACCCATTGTCTGTTTGGTCAGATTAAAAAATGGATGGCTTGGGGTCTCACAAATTACCTGACAATGTTTAATTTGAATTCTAAAAACAGTATGTTTGAAAACGCGGAACACCATATTGGAAACTAAATTAAATAACGTTCTTAATAACATTTGTATTTTATTTCAAATAATTATTTTTTAAAATATATTTAAAATGTGTAAAATTAAGAGACAATATTGTAAGTAACTTATTTATCAATTAGACTTTTGTTAAATGTAAGCAATAAATGTTTACTAATCTCTAATATCACCATAAAAGTAGTATCACCTCTATCATCATCATCTAGTATCACCTTTCAATTATAAAGAGTAAATAAAGTAACAAAGCTTATGCTAAAATGACTCAATGAGTTTTAATTTAAATTTGTTTGCAAGTGAAAGAAGAAAAGAAGAATAAGGGATATGCATTTCTTTTATTGAATGTTTTAAATTCTATTTTCTAATTTTTAAAAAATTTTTGTTAAAATTTTTTTTATACTTTGTTGCAGACGGAGTAGAGGACGTCCCAGAAAAACATCCAGTAGTCTTCCCAACATAGCCAAGAGCGCTACCCCTCTTAAACACTCTCCCAGTTATACTCCAAAACGAAAACAGCTGCTGGATGCTCCGTCTGACGAGATACAAGTTATTGGTTTCAATGGGTTTGAGACTTCTCAAGCCAAAAAACCCAAATCCGAGGATCTTTCGGATCCTAATGCCGCTAAACGTCTACTACCCCATCGTGCTGCACGATTCACAGAATCATATGGCGGGACATCACCCGATGTTGTAATAATTTCTGACGAGGAACAAGGTGGAGATGATAGTGACTCTGATAGTGATTCAGACTGTGGACCAATCCCTTCTCCAGTGATTGTAGTGAAATCAAAAGAAGAGCTTGAGCAATATGAGGAAAACATCCAGCATCTGAAGCAGATGCTGTGTGATGAGGAAATGAAACTTGTTTTGCTTAAAAAACTTCAAGACAGTCAGAAGTCTAAGGACCTCAGACGAGAATCTAATAGTAGCCCCTTGCCGACTACAGGACAACCTTCTTCCTCTTCCAAATCTTCATCTACTGTCACATTGAAATCTGGAGTACAGATACAGCCGCTTCCTAGTAAACAGCTTATTTCCAATAATAAGTTTTTATCATCAAAGAAGGTATTTATTTTTTAATATCTGTTGTCTATTGTTTCAAATTAAATGTATTTTTTCTGGTGTGATGAATTTCTTTTAACAGACGTGCCACTTTTCCGGGGATCCACAGGATTCCTGTTAGTTTTTTTTCCTCCTGATTTACAGCCTAACTTTAATTATTATAGAATTGAAAAAATTTGGGTTGAATTCAAGGACCATTCACTAATTGTGCAAAAGCGATTAAATAATCTTATCTACTACATTACTTTTCTTGTAGAGCTTATTTAAACAGGGCTGATTGTGCTCCGGAAAAAATCCGGATTTCTGGATTTTTCACTAACAGTGATCCGGAAGTTTCCGGAGATCGAAGGTCCAGACGTTTAAAAAAAAATCATTAATCACTGAAGTTTCCGGAAATCAAATTTTCAAAGGTGGAACTTAAAAACACAGTTTATTTTATTTGTTTGTAAGGGAGAGCTAGAGACAGGGTATCCACGCACCTGGAAAATCATGAATTTCGGTATTGGACAAAATTTGCCATGAAATGTCATGATTTACTATTTTTTTAAAAAAAAAATCATGGAAAGTCATGGATTTAAGTTGGCAAAAAATCTAATTTTCAAAATGGATTTTACCCCTCCCTCCAATTGTTCAAATGTCTGAATGTGTAACAAAATCCCCACTCGCAGTCATGTTTTATTAAAATATAAAATGTTTTTACACGTTCTTTAAAAATTATGGTGTTCTTTTTAAAAATGAAAGAAAAGGCTTCATATCGAAAGTGAATTATCCTTTAAACTTCTGTGATTTCAGAATTTTTATTTTTTTATTTTATCAATTTAAAATTTTAGCTGAAGCAAGCCAGTCATTGACGAAATTTTTTTATTCCGAAATGAGAACAGAAAAATTAGGAGTATTTCTTTCCTTTCCGATGAACAAGAAAAGTATCTTTAAAATGTAATTCTGCAGATAAAAAGAAAAACAATTTAATTGCCTTTGTATTTTTTTCAGCTATTTTATTGCCTCAACTCTTTCTTTACTCTGTTTTTTAAATTTAAAATCTATAAATATGAAGATGCAGAGTATAACAGTTTTAGTTATACTTATCATTTCAGTGAATGTTATAATGCTTTTTTAAATTAATTGCTGTGTTTTTGTCGGAGAAAATAGTAACTTCGTTAAGCCATGAAAATTTCTTGGAATTAGTAATGGAAAGTCATGAATTTGAAAATCTAAAATGTAGCACATACCCTGCAGAGAGATACTTTATAAGCTTATATATTCATGATTAATATTCATTTTTTATCAGTTAATAGTTGTTATAATCATAAACTCCAGAAAGAAAAACATATTTGTAAATTTTAATTACTTCTCCAGGTCATTATAGCTTTGTGTAAATGGTATAGGTATGTGTAAAATTTTAAATATATTTTAGGTAAACTAAGAAATATTGAGAAATAGGAAGAAAAAACCTTGTTTAAATTTTTCAATTTAAACCTTTTTTTTTTTGTTTTTGTTTTTAACTCAAGAAATGTTCAGGAATTTTGACTTGGGCTCACAATCACCCCTGTTTAAAGCAAATTAAAATTTTTTAATAAATTTACTATTTATTAATCACATGGAGATGAAGTGAACTGAGGGATCATCCGCTAATTAATTTTTTTAAATAATGTTTTTGAAGCATTTCTGGATTGAGAAGATTATGAAATATACTAAATCTATGTATGCATTTTTACAGAATATTAAATTTTAAGATTGGCTTATGGTAAGAATCGGATTGTTTTTAAGAATTTCATTAATGAAATTTTAAAGCAAATTGCAGTAGGGTTAGTTTTTATTTCTGATATTGTTTGAATGTATTCTTTTTTGTCTCAATCATTTTTCTCAACTCAAACTGATAATTTGTTGCATTAAATATTGGGTATAAAATTTCAATTCTAAAGTTGCTTGCCACTAATTTGCATTCATGAAAAGCATGAGCAATTTTATAATGTTTATAGTAGTAGTATGGAATGCTTTTTGGTGACCACATTCATAAAGGAATCTAAAAATCTTTAGAAACAAAATAAGGTTGCCTTAAGATTTCAATGTTTCCAGAATAATTAGTTTTGCTGGTGGTTTAAATTTTTTTGTTTGTATTTTTTTAATATTTCTAATGGCAGAGGGGATTTACACAGGTTAAAAATAATACAACCCAAGAGAACAAGCATATAAAAATTAAAAATAGTATTTCCTCATTTCATTTTATAACAATCGATCCAATTTATGGGTTTACGACTACTAATGTTAAACTCCATGGCCTTGTAATTTTGAACGCAATCCAGAAGACAAAGGAACTCCTGGAATGCTTCTAATTAAACTGTTTATTTAGGGTCAGTGAGATATTTTGCCTAATAACTAAAGAATGAATAATGGATTTACAAGATTATACTCATATATTTCCATATTCGTAAAAATATTTTTTATGAAAAAACAAATTCTTTTTAAGTATGGTAAAAAAAGGTAAAAAAATAAATAAATTTAGGGAATAAACTTTCTGTTTAAATAGCTGATTTATGGTTGATTATGGAAAGGATGTATGGTTTCCTGATTATTGCTCTGTCTATGATATGTATGTTATTTAAATTGTTATGTTATTCAAACTAATAATAATTATTGCTTTTTTTTAAAGTTAAAAATAAAATTTAATGCTTTTTACTTTGAAGCTAAGTGTTTTTAAAGTTTGCCTTAAATTTTGTTATATTTTATATTTTTTTTGTTTGCCTTCAAAAATATCTTACTATTATTTTTCCCTTTATCAGGAAATGAAGTTTGAGTCAACTTCACATTTTAACAAAGCTGTTCCAAAAGCATCATCTGTATCTTCATCTGTTAAACACACAGTTAAGGCAGAACTAAATGATAGTGTTGCTTCTTCAGTGTCATCTAATTCTGCTGAAAAAATCAATGCCTCTCACTTACAACAATATCCTTTGTTAAAGAACCTCTCCGCCCAAATAACAATTACTGCTGTGAGTATTTTTGTTAACTTTTTGTAATAAGTCTGTTGTTAATTGTTAGTCCCCAAAAAAACTTATTCAAAATTCCTCTGTCATATTTTTTTTAATTCGGTTTAATTCAAATAACTTTTTTTCTTCAAATAAATTGTTTTCTATTAATAAAAGGTATTAAAAATATAAATTCAGAAAAGTTAAATTTGAATCTTGTGTAGAATTTTACTTAACTATGGCATGCAAATTTTAAAAATAGTGAAAGATATTTTTCTCAAGGTTAAGTACCTATCCAAAACTTTGCAAAGCAAAAGCAATCTAACCAAGATTTTAACCTGGAAAACCTGAAAAAAAACCAGGGAAATTTAAAACCTGATTTGAGTGGCCACTGAAATAAAAATAGGTTTAGCATTCTTTTGAAAGCAGAGTTTTTTTATTTAAAAAAAATATATATATATATATTTTGAAACTTTGTTATGTATACAATTACTTTTGTTTTTTTTATGCATTTTTTAATTAAAAAAATCTTTTCAATGCATTTAAGTATAGTAGTTTGTTAGAATTTTATTATTATTTTTGGTTTGTTAATTACAAGCATTATTTTTTAAGTTAATTTTTTTCTTTTATTTCAGATTTATTTTATTAAGATTGATTTCTAATTTTGTGGTTTTGATTCAAATGATACATTATTCAGACATATATTATATCATGAAATGTTGTAATATCGCAATGCCTAACAGACAATATATCACTATATAAAATTTATTACATTGCCCAGTCCTAAGACTTCTTAAATTGTCATTGTCAGACTTCTTAAAAAAGTTTCAGAGAAGCTTTTTAAAAAGTCTTTTGATTGTTCCTCTGAAACATTTTACATTGTAACCTCTAAAATTTGGACTGCTTAGCGATTTGGAAGTTACAGGTCAATAAATATTTGAAAAAATTTTGGTCTTGCAAACCTAAAGGGTTTTTCGAAAGATTTATTATTATTATTATTTTTTTGCATTTACTTTGCGAATTTTTTTATGGTTTTTGAATTTTTGATATTTCAATACCATATTAGTATAACTGGAAAATATTTTAGTTTTTCTATTTTGATGACTATAAAAATACCTAATATTCCCTATGTTTAAAATATTTAGTATATTTTGTAACACTTAACATGGAAATTATATTTCGTAAAATCTACTGGATTTTTTTATATCCTGGTTTAATACAAACATAAAATACATAACCTTTCAAGTTCATGTAATGTGAAATCATAACTGGAAAATATGGCAGTTTTCCTATTTTGATGACTATAAAAATCTCTAAAATTCCCTATGTGTAAAATATTTAGTATATCTTGCAACAATTACGGAATTTATGTTATTTAGTAAAATCTACTGGATTTTTACGTTGGCAGCTATGAGAGAGAATATTATAAAATAAATTTATTCACTACAATTAATTCCATTAAATTTTTTTTGTATTTAAAATAAAAATAAAATGCATTTTTAAAAATTAGTAAAATGAATTTTTAATTGTTAAATAAATAATTATTCATGCTGAATAGAATTATTGAATTTTATTCAAAACAAAATTTTTGCACTTACACTAATTGATGTTGCATGATGAAACTTGACATAGCAATTTAAAATAATTCATAGCAAATTTAAGTTATCAAATCGAATGACATCAAACAATAGCTGTGTAGTGATGACATTGATTTTTCTTGAATGGGATTTTATTTGTGAAAAATGTTCGAAGTTTTCGTAAAATCTACTGGGTTTTTCCTATCAGTGTTGGCAGCTATGGGTGCGAAAGTTTCCTCTTCCTGCCTTTTCCTCAAAAGTTATTTGGCTATATTTTTTTCCTTGTCGTGAGTTGAACAAAAAATTTGCTGCATTTCAGAGATTTTTAGAAGTGTGGATTTTTGAGTTTTTATATAACGCCCCCTCAATAGTTGTCAACTCTACTGGATTTTCCATTAGACTACTGGATTTTTCCAGTTTCTCCTGCTCTACTGATTTAATAAAAATTCTCCTGGTTTTCGTGTTTTTTTTTTTTTTTTCGTTCTAAAATATTCAGTTTATTTTTATTCAGAACTCCCTTTATAAGTTAAACAATCTTAATTATTTCTTATGCATTAAATGCCTATTACAATTTAAAATTATGAGTAAACATAGTTCACATTATTTCAAGCATATTTAATGCCTATCATGACTGGAAAATATCGAAATTTTTTTTATTTTGATGTCTATATTAATTCCTAGAATTCCCTATGTGTAAAATATTTAGTACATTTTGCAACAGTTATCATAAAATTTATATTATTTCGTAAAATCTACTGGATTTTTATGTTTGCACGGATAGGAAAAATCCAGTAGATTTTACGAAAACTCTGAACATTTTTGATGAATTAAATCCCATTCAAGAAAAATAAATGTTATAACTGTACAGCTATTGTTTGATGTCATTCGATTTGATAACTTTAATTTGCTATGAATTATTTTAACTTACTAAGTCATGTTTAATTCCACAACATCAATTAGTATAAGTGCCAAAATTTTGTTTTGAGTAAAATTCAATAATTCTATTTACATGGTGCATAGCGTTTTTAAAAAGTGCTTAAAGGTGCTTATTTTCGATTTTCGTTTTTAAAAGCCCTTAATGATGCTTTTTTTTATTGGATGTTTTTAATAAGTGCTTTATTTTCCCTTTTCGAAAATGAGATTTTTTTCTTTACCATAACAATTTTTGCCACGTATTATTCAAAAGCTTGGTTTTTATATTGTTCTATTTAACGTTTTCACAATTCATTCAAACACAATCCATTTTGGTGTACCGTCGGTTTGTGGCATATGAAAGCGCCAATCATTTTACATCTTAGGTGAAATATATGGGAGTCTGCATGTGCGTCTACTGAACTGAGTTCGGTGAGATTCTTGGACTTTCATGTGCAACTCTGCTGGATTTTGCAAGATATTCTCCATTTCAGGCTTCATTTTCCACCCTCTGAAATCGAATTGAAAAATCTCTCGATCTTTTTATGGTGGCTAATATAATCAAGAGAAAGAATTCTAGTTAGTTTATCATGATCAAGTAAAGTCTTTGAAAATTATTTTGTATTCTAATGTATGTAGTGCTTAAAAAGTATTTAAAAGGTCTTATTTTTTGTTGAAAGATTTGGCTATGCACACTGATTTAGTATGATTAATTATTTATTTATTTTACAATTATAAATTTATTTTAAATACTAAAAATATAATGGTAGTGTATTTATATTATATAAAATATAATTAATAAATTATATTATATAAAATATTATGTATTGGATCAATTCATCTTATAATATTCTTTCTCATAACTGTTGGCAGCTATGGATGCACAAGTTGTGCATATACTGCCTTTTCCTTAAAAGTTATTTAGCTATATTTTTTGCTTGAAAAAATTTGCTGCATTTCAGAGGTTTTCATAAGTGTGCATTTTTGAGTTTATAATGGCCACACCCTAATAATATATATATTTTAGGTGCCTCCTGTTGGTTCTCCGGCTCCAACTAATCATTCACAACCAGCAACCGTTTCCAACTCAAATAAAAGTACTCCTGCACCCGTATCGAAGGAAGATAAAGGAGAGTCGTTATCTCACAGACAGGCCGCAGCTAAACTAGCCCTGAGAAAACAGTTAGAAAAGACACTCCTTCAAATACCTTTACCCAAACCACCACCCTTAAAACTAAATTTCTTTCCAAATGCAAACAGTATCGAATTCCTCTGTTTGTTAGGCCTCGATTTTGTAGTTGACTTTTTAACCAAAACCAAAAAAAGTTCTGTCGCCAATCCACTTACGTGCGCGCAATGTTCCACAGATTTCACGTGCGCCTGGAAGTGGAAGGAAGTCGACAAGAACGGCGTCAAGAGTTACGATGTTTTCTGCGAGGCGTGCATCAATTCCAACATTCGTAAATCCTTGAAAGCTCAACACACAAACAGTCTTAAGGCTGCCTTTTTAAAAGCGCTCCACCAAGAAAAAGAAATAGATAAACTGACCACAATGCCATCAAAATCACACTCTCCCACGCCACGGGAGTCTTCGCGCACACACCTGCCTTCACCGTCACCCGCTCATCAGAACAGCTCTATGTCTGTTCATTCTCTTCCAAAGCATGGAGCACCTGTACCATACATTCCAAAAGTGGCGCCAAGTTTGAATCATGCCGCCGCCTTAGCACAAATGACTAAACTTAGTCCTCAATATCAACAGCTTCTCCAAATTCAAGCGCAGCACTTATTTGCTACTGGTGTGCCTTTACATCCTAGTATGCTATCACCGTTTATGTCGCCAAGTCCAAATCATCATAGCAGGGGGAAATCATCGGTTCCGAGCGATCTTCGCAGACAATACAGATCAGATAGAGTCCAATCTCCATCAATACCTCATTCATCATCCAGTTGGAAAGCTTAAGATTATTTCTTGAATTCAAAGTAATTTTTTTTTTAAAGGGGCCATTCAAACAACCGAGGACCTTGTGGATGTATATAAGATCTCAAAATGATAGAGAGTAACAAAAACTTGTACATTTGAAAATAGTTTTACTTTTGGAGGAAAAATGTTTCACATCATTTTTCTTATACAGGGTTGCAACTCCTCCGGGAAAAACCTGGAAAATACAGGGAGTTTTAAAAATCACTCAAAATAACAGGGAATTTTGAGTTTTTCCTCACAAATTGGGAAAATGCAGGGAATTTTGTCTTTTAAAAAATGGTTACCACTCATAGCGCAATGTATGAGATATTTAAAGATGATATTTCAGCTATACTAAATTATTTCATTTACTTAAAGCATTATTTAAGTATCTTCAGCTGATCCTTTTTTCCCCCTAAGTTTTCCCCTCAATTAAAACTAATATAGTTAGCCCAATATAGCTTGCACAAGAGCTCAGTGATTGTGTGTTATTGATATATTGTGTATAATACAGGGAAAACGCAGGGAATTTTTTTCTTCTTCCAAATTAGAGTAGCAACCCTGTAATATGAATAACTTGTTATATTCATTAAGTGTTACATTATGTTATGCTCTTTTGTAAAGTCACTCCTTGCTTGATCCACTCCTCTTATTAGAGCACGCTACAGACATTTAAGACAATTTAACCAATAAATAAAAAAAGGAGATATCGATCAGAGGCCATGATAAAAAGTTATATAAAAAATATTTTACTGCATTGAAATATTTCTAAATTGTATTTAACTGTATTAAGTATTATTTGGTAGTAAAAGAAAGAAAATAAAGTAAAAAAGTAATTTTTTGAATTTCACAAATAGAGTTTGTTAAAACTTGGCAAATTCAATTTAAGTTGACTTAGTATTTTCTGCATAAAATATTATATATTAGGGTAGAAAGGAAATTACATGTAGTAAAATAATGAAAATGAAGCCAAAATAATTGATAAGCAAATAATTTGCTAAAGAAGAATTCAGTGAAAAAAATTTTTCTCACAAAATTTGTTTCGTTTTGTAAAATCTACTGGATTTTTTCCAATCTATCTTTTTAGCTATGTGCTAAAAAAAAAAAAAAAAAAACCTGCAAATTGAGGAAAAGAATTCAGATAATTTCTTTTTCCAGAAATCACATGCCTTTAATTAAGAAGTCAACTTATAATAATTAAATATATCAGAAATTTCCCCTACGAAATGTTACATATTAAAATAAATTTATTTGTTCCATAAATATTAAAAATCAAGCCAAGGGAAAAAATAATTTCTAAAATTCTAAGTTGAATATGGCGATATTTTGTTGAATTTGCCCATTATAATAATTAACACCGACAATTTTTTATGATTATTCTTTTTTTTGTCAACTATTTGTGGTGTTCATTAGAAATTTTGTAAAATAAAATATTGCATTAGCTTACGGGTTGAGAGTTAACAAATTTATTTTTTCATGCGAGGTAAAATGGAGGAAGGAGTCAAATTTTCTTCAAAACATAAATATGTTATGTTTGAATTGCCCCTTTGTGTAAAAAGATAAACTTATTTAAATATGAATTATATCTTTTCTGTGTTGGTTGATTCCTTGAGAAGACTGGAGTTATATTTGCTATTAAAAAGGGAAGGACTAAATTGATATTTTGTATCATTCAAGATATTGTAAAAATATTTCTAGCCATTTCCTTTTTTAATTTGTAAATGCCATTTGTTTTATTATGAAATGCATATATGAATTTGTTTATGTATTACTATTCTGTTATTTATTTTCTTTTCTTTAACAGGTCAGTTATAAAAATTTGGAAATGCGCCAAACATATAAAACAGCAAAATATTGTTTTATATTAATCAATTATAGTAAAATTGGTTTTGTGGTACTTTAGGATTATTCCGTCGATCTGTCAATGCTTGTGAAAATGCGCAAATCAATTAGGGCCATTAAAATGAATAGCAATTTCCAAATTAAACATTCTAAGCACATTTAATTTATCAAATATAAAATAATAGTAACAAAAAAAATTTAAGTGTAATAAAAAAAATACGTAATAAAAAAAGAATCAAAGCAAAGTAAAAAAAAAATTTTTTTTTATATTTATAATTACACATTGAATTATTCTTGAATTTAACCATATATACTATTATAAATAATTTTATTGCAAAACAAAGAAACAAGTCTCATTATCGTTGTGCAGTCGCCGCCACATTAATTAGTTTAAATATGATAAAAAAACTAATTCGTTTAAATACGATTAAAAAAAACTAACTCGCATAGTCATGGATTGCACAGTAAATAAGATAAAATTTGTGATTATTGGTGCAGAAGCTACCTTTTGGCAAAAATGGTCAGCGGGATAATCCCAATGTACTGGTTTTGTTTATACAATATTAGTATAATGGTCTGACATGTATAGCAATAAATAGCTTTATACTAAATATGTTTAAATTATATAGAATAATAAAATTTTCATTACAGTTTGAATTATAATATGGTGACGTTATTTATGAATTAATATGGTGACATTATTTGTTATAATTAGTTAAACAAATTGATTATAATGCTAAATAAACTTATGAAACCCATTTTATATAAATCCTATTAACAGATTTTATGAATTTTTTTTCTTTCCAAGGGGAATGTTATATAGTTCTCTGTTTAAACGAATAATTCAATAATTTTCATTATGAATGTATATATATATATTTTGCTTATTTCACATGTGTAAATGTGATGATTGGTTGATTATTTTAAATGAATAATACTTTCCTACTAATAAAAGTAGCATATTTTTACTAAAGGATGAAATAACTACCATGTAAAGAAAAATGTAGTTACTGACTCTGAAATATATTCTAATTAGTTTAGTATGATTATTTTATAAAAGTTCAAATAATTGAAGGAAGAAAGGAAGCTTACTAAGTAATGTAATGAAATATCTAAATTTGTGTACTTAGCTAACTTGAAATATCAAAATTTAAATTCTTATTTATTTTTAAACTATGAAATATCCATTTTAGAAAATGCAAAATTATTACACAAAGGACAGTAATGTTTTTATTACCCATGTGAGACTAAGAAATTGAATAGAAATTTTAGTGTCTATAATTGTTAATTTTGCAGTACCAAAAAAAAAAATTAAAAAAAAATATTTGTTTACCTTGCTGTTGTATGAAGAATAAAATTATGAAAAACTGATACCTGCTCTTTTTTTTTTTTTTCTTTCCGGTTGCCTAAGATGACCTAGGTCCATTTAGTCGAGAATGTACTGAATTTTTTTTCTACTGTAAATATTTTTGAATTCAAAATATTGCTTTTAAATGTGGTTCAAAATTTGATTTTGAATTAAAAATAATGCATATTTCCATTTAATTTTTCACTTTTTAACCAGTACATATTTGAAAATCTAAGTTTGTTAAACGTCATTTTTGTTTTTTGCTAATATGTATATAATTTTTTTTTAATGTTATGCACTTTTTCAGATTCTTTTTTAAAGGGGAAGGGGAAAAAATTTAATCTATAATTATATTTTATTTATGTTTCTACATTTTAGTTTTTTTTTTTACCGACAGAGAATATCATAATATTTTTTTTAAAAGATTAGTTTCTTAAAATATATAAATTAGTCCTAATGCTTTAAGATCATTACATATAGGCTATTTTTTTAAAATAGTACTGTAGCACAGTGTTTCTGACCTTTTAACTGACAATGAACTTAAATTTTTTTCCCCCATTTCATTATGTGTACTTTTTTAAAATTGAAAAAAGGAAAGAAAATTACAACTATATTTATATTCTTGTTTTTCACTGTGTTTTTAGAGTTGAATGTATATTCTGTTTCAGTTATTTTTATTTAGTGAAACTTGATACACTTGTAAATTTTCTTAATAAATATCATTCAAACAAGGAAGTAAGTTTCTTTACCTTTGTAAATTGTTGAGAGTGGAGTTTTGCCGAATTAGATTCCANGTACTTCGGGTTCGATAAAACATCGATTAACGACACTTTTTGGTCGATCCAGAAAACCGGGAAATTCAGATATCCGGGATAGCGATGGTCCCGAGCATCCCGGATAATTGGTTCTCTACTGTATATAGCTGCCAACTCTACTGGATTTCGCTAGTTTCTACTAGTTTGATAAAAAATTCTGGTTTTTGTACATTTTTGAAAATTCCTAAAAAATCCCTATTCAAATAGAATTTTTTTTTGCTTGGATATTTAAATAAGTTGCTAATCAGAAGCTTTTTTTATCTGAAATCTGTGTTTTTATCTATCAATCTTTTTTGTACAGTATTAGCTGTACTGAAAATCACAGCCAATAAATTACAGGTTGACTTTATTATCTTTATAAATGACATCTAGTTCCTATTTTTTTACAATTAATAAGAAAAATAATAATTAGGTATTCAATTAAAACTGCTAAGTAATATGTTAAATTTATTTTTATGCAAATACTTAAAATTTTTTCTTATATGGTATTTTCATCCAAATTTATATAAAAATGGTTATTAAAAAAAAACAGTACATATTACATATATTTTCAAGAAAATGTTAAGTTTCTTCTTAGGGAAATTTAGAAAACAAGGAAATGGTAATTGTGAATCAGTGGTTATATAAAATTTTTAACTAAAAATCCTTAACTTAAAGGCAAAACAGAAACTTATGGAACTTTAAATTAGGAAATTAAAATAGATTGGTCATGTTTTACATAAACATGAAAAATTTAAAGTAAATCAAATTTTGATTGGAACCCTCACCACAATAGGAAAAGAGGAAGGCCTTGACGAATGACTATTATAATTGAATTGAAAACAATAAGCTGGACATGGAAAGAAGCAAAATATCTGGCCACACACAGAGTGAGTTGGAAAGCAATGGTAGATGCCCTATGCTCCAATTTGGAGTAAAGATGAATATGTGTATATTTTGACTAAATAGCTTTTTTTTTTAAAAGTCTTAACAAAATAAAAGTGTTATTTATCACAGATTATTATGTTTCTTAATACATCCTTAAACCTGAAAATATGAATTTTTTCCAAATATTTCTTGATATGTTCTTAAACCTGAAAATTTGTATGATATCAAAATGCAACTTGATATATCCGATTTAACATCTGAAAATTAGAACTATTTCAAAATATAGCCGTACTTGTTCGTCCCTATGCTTTTCACTTTATGTTTGGTATTATGGTTACACTTTTAAAATTCATTAAATATACAGTCCCATCTTTTTAAGTAATTAAAAAATACGGTCTTTTTTTTTAAAAAAAAAAAAACGAATATTGAAATAAAGCATTCCTTCATATTTCCAATTATATGTGTTTTTAAAAAAAAAAACTGAAAGCACTGTTTACATTACGATTGGCAAAATCGAAGCTGTAGTATGAAACTAGCAATATTGTTTGAGTTGTTCATTTTAATGTTCAAGAGGTTTTGATTTGTATTTTGTGAATGTAAAATAATTGATTCTATAAATTTTTTTATAAATAAATACTTCAGTTTGGCAAACACTTTTGTAATTATTTAAGCAAAAAATTGTTTTTGGTACTTTTTAATTTTTTTATTGTTATCGTATCTTTCAATCATAATACTTAAAATAATTTTGAATATTTTTTCCTAAGTTATTTGTGTAGATCTTATTCTAAGGAAATGATCTGTTGATCAGAAGCGATATCTCAAATGTTACAGTTTCTGAAAGTTATTTGATTATTATTTGGTTATTGAAATAATTGTAAGTACTTTCTGCATACTTCATTATTTTTATAAATTTGGTTATGCAGTGAAACTACCTCCGTTATGCAAGAAATCTGTTGTTGACTGTCGCTTTTGTCAATATTTTCCAAAAATATATTTAAATTAGTTGTCCCATTTTGTTTTCATAAACTGAGATAAAAGGCACTGTTTATTATGCTCTTTATTGATTAGTGCATAATACAAATTAGTTTATTAAAATTTTCTTATGCAACTCCAGAGATATGTATGTAACAGAAATCCATAAAATTAATGAATCTATTGGTTTATTTGCACCGTCCAAATGAGGGTATATTTTGACAAATTATTTGCTGTAATATTAAAATGAGAAATTTCTCGGGTGAGCTGCTGGTGATCAACTGCATGCCTGCCAAGTATCTTGTTTTTACGAAGACACTTGTATTTTACGACAAGTTTAGTCTCAAATTTCTCCGTATTTGTTGAAGAAATTTAAAAATTTTTTTTTTTGCGATAAAATATCCGTTAATGGCAAAAATACTTCTCATATTCCTCAACAGATACTTAGTACTATTGCAAGTACTGCAGTATGTTGAGTGTTAATAGCTTAGGTGATTGAGTGCTCCCCTCCCAATGAGGTGAATCTGGTTCGAATCCCAGCGATGGTTGGTTGATTCGAATTCCGCACCGGCCACAGTGCTGATATAAAATATCCTTGGTGGTAGACGGATCATGAGTTAGTCCCCTTGTCTTCTAGATCGGGTTCAAAAAGACAAGGCTACGGGGTTGAAAATTGGTAGTCGTAAACTCTAAATGGGGCCGGCTGCTCAACAACGGTTATAAAATAGTTGAAAATAATGGTTTTAAAAAAATCTTCTGAAGATAAAGATTTAGATACATATTTTTTACTTTGCTGAATGTAGAATTAAGTCCGTTAAATTATATTTTAAGTTTGGAATTTCTCTTTTTGACTTGCATGATGTATTAAAACTTTCCTCGTAGCCTAACGCTAGTAGAAATTGACATTAAAGAGCTTTGACTTTTAGTCTCTCTCCTGGCATTAGGACCATGTTTTCCGGAATTATACTAGTTATTGCAGGATTCTCGTTTATTGCAGGTTATAGATGTGTTCAGTGTAAATTAAGATATGAAGAAACAGAAAATACAATACGTCAACATGAAGTTTATTTAAGCATATATAAACAGTAAATATGTACAATATTTTAAATTACCCCTCAAAAATTATCCTGGCTTGGATGACATATCTTTTTTGAACAAGTTTTGATTTATACTTAAAAATGAAGCAGTTTTTAATTTATATACAGACCTACAAATATGTTCTTTTTTCAAAAACATATGGGACAATATTTTTTTTTTTAAGAAAAGGGCAACATTTGAGGGAAAAAAAAATTTGAATCCAATAGTGACTAGACACTATAGATAACTGTTGCATAATGTATTTATATTTGTAAAAATTAAATTGTAAAAGCTGCTTAAGTTTTGGCAAAGTATCATTAAATGTAAGTATTTTAAAAAATCCTGGTATTTTTATTGAATGATTTCAGTATTAGTATCAATTTTCGACAAAGTATCATATAATTCGTTTGGCAAATTCAACCAATTTATAAAAATTTTGGCTTATGGTTAATATAACACTAAGATGACTTTAGACCTAAATAATTTTTTCGTTAGGATTTTTCTATATTACACAACTATTTCATTAGATGTTATTAGTACCCAAATCAATGAATAATTTAAAAATGAAACGTTAACGTGTCACATTAAAAAAAAAGTGTTTAGATATAAATATAAATGCCACACACAGACAAAAAAAAGTTATTGCAATATGACATTTAACATGTTACATGCTAGGCATTAACATACTATATAAATAGTAATTTATAATTTTTAAACCACATTTATTAAAACATTATCATTACCAAAATTTAAATTACATTTTTAAATCTGAAAGACAACCAACCAATTAATTCTTATGAGGAAAAAATTAATAAAAAAGACTGCAACATTAAATGTTTTTAACTCATGAATTAAAAAAATTAGTTTTTTAAAGTAATAATACTCATTTGAATAAAATTTTATGGAATTGCACATTTAAAATACTGAAAGTTTAAAATAAAAATGCACAAAATTAAATGATAAAAATTTACTAGTTAATCATATTAATAATTCAAAATTTATTTAATTCAAGAATTTTTCTCTTTATAAACCTCTTTATATGGATTAACATAGGGAACCAGTTTGATATGTAGAAAAACATATAATTGAAATGGTGAAAAATTTGGGTAAAAACATTCCGAGAGCCATAAAATAATACAATTCAAATTTGAGACTTTGTGTACATTACTTCATACAGTATAAGACTATCTAAAACATGGCGTTCTCTGTTTAAAATATGCTTTAATTAAAATTATTTTCTAAATTTTTTTCAATTAACACTTGAAGAAACATTTTGACTAAAAGGCTGAAATTTTCAATAGAAAAGAAAACTGTATGCTAGTTTTCTAAAATATTTTAGTCCAAAACAAGTTAAATTAATATTTTATTTAAAATTTTTCAGTATTTTTATTATGCTTGTCGCGTTCAACATAAAGAATACGGAATAGTTTAAACATGCAGAATTGAATAAATCACAAGTCCCCACTTGATTAAAGTCTCTTAAAGTCTTTTTTTAACCCTTTGGACCCAAATGGCATATACGTCCCAAAGACTAAACTTTATTCTCTAATGGATAAACAGATCTCAATTTTTCAGAATAAATAATTTGATGCATTTTTATTATTTATTCCCATGCAATATATAGGTATTTTCACAATATTCAAGACGATTGGGACATACTGTCCCAGCAGATTTCTGGAAAACTTTAAACTCATAATGCTGTCACATCTTAATATGTCCACATTAAGGTAAACTGCTTTTCATACTTAAATTTTAATGCTGCAAAAGGGTTAATAAGAGGATAAATATAAGGCGTTAATATGAAAATAGTAAGTGGAGAAAGATACACAACACTCGTCTAAACTTTCCTTTTCTGATTCAATTGGTTTCGAAGGTCGGGAGCACACTTCCCACAATACTTCTGTATTCATGAGATCCACATTAAAGCTTTCATACAAGTATAAAAGATGTAATCTATAAGTCAAAACTTTAAAAAAAAAAATTAATTAAATTTTTTAATTTTCTCTTGCAGGAAAAAAAAAAGATTCAAATTTAAGTAAAATTTGAGATACAGTAATACTTTCTTATATTGCATATCTGCGGGAAACAAGAAAAAAAAAATTGATAATAAGCTTGACAGACCTAAAGCATTGGATGTTTATTGTAAAAGACCAAAAACATCAAAGAACGAGGTTTGTTTTGAGAAATTTGTTAAGAATAGTGATAAGCAATGCCTCATCTTTTATTGATTCTTTTTTCACATTCTATATTTAGAAAAATATCAAAAATTAATCTTTACGGATTAAAAAACCTGTTTTTAGTATTACTTTTTTCATTGGCAATCTTTAGAAGAAAAAGAAATAAATAATAATATTTTTAGATTCACAATGTCCTAAAGCGTGAAAGAAGATTTTAAACCTTAAAATAAACTCATAAAAAATGTCAATTTCAATTCTTTTTTTCTTTGCATTCTTATGAATATAGAAACAATAAATATAAATGCACATAAGGAGTTATTGTATGATATAAAAATAAGTGCACAATATGAGTTACCGTATAATAATGAGACACAATACAATGAGTAGCTACTGTATGATAAATATGTAACAAATCTTTAAATTATGCTTCTTTTCAGCTGCCATAAACTAGAACATAATACCAGTTGCAATAAATACTAGCTAAGTAAAGAAATTTTGCGATTTACTATAACTAATAAAGCTGCCACAAGAAGTTTTATTTAATTTTTTCCTTTCGTAATTGCTTCCACTATAGGCATGATTTAAAGCAAACACGTTTTGAATTTTTTTTTCAGCAAAAATATTTTAGAGTTCCCAATATTTAATTCTTATTTAAACACAGTATTAATGTATCAAACATTCTTTTCGGCATATTTAAATGATTATATGTTAAAAAGGGCATTAAAAATTTAAAAAAAGGAAATTATTACAATGACTTTTTAGCTAGATAGATATTTTTTTTTACAACCATCATTATATTTTAAGATTTAAAAAATGCTCATAACTGTTAAGGGAATTTTTCAATAGTTACCAATAAATTCTTAGGTACTAATTATATATTGATCATATGAAAGATACATTTAAATCAAGGTTTTGTTATTTTCTGATTTGTTTTTGTTTGTCATAAACTTTAATTAAATTCTAAAAAATTTACTGAAAACCTGGGTATTAATTTAGGATTTTATAATAAAACGAAAGGAATAAAACTATTTAAACTTAACCTTCATATTATCTACATTTTTACAATAGCAGATAAGACATAATTTTTCAGTAAAATGCTAGAAATAAAACCACTATGGAACTATTTTAAAATTTAAAGGACAAATTTTTAAAAAAAATCCATACTAATGCTGTAATTGGGCATTTTGAAAATAAAAATTGAGCACTTGTAGATGATTTTAAGAACCTATACTAACTATGTAATTAGGTAACATGAAAACAAGTTGATGTATAAAAAAAAATTCTTATTGCTCATGGAATGAAGTCACATGACAGTTACACGAGGAAGAAAAAAAAGGGATTTATGATATCTATAGCATACACACTAGAATGGAGTTTATTAAATACAAAAAGGTGAAAATGGATTGGCATGTTATATTAAGTAGAAACAAACAAAAAAAAATGATACACAAATAAAAAATCTTAAAAGTCTACAAACTTGTCAGACACATGAAACATTAAAAAAAAAAAAAAAAACTAACATAACACACTTTGGGATTATCTCATCAATGTGAACTTTGGGATTATCTGGTCGACCTGTCAACGTTCGCGAAAATGAGCAAATCCTTTGGCGCCATCATAACGAAAAGCAATTTCAAAAATAAACATTTTAAACACATTAAATTTATCTAATAATAAAAAAATGTAAGAGTAAAAATATGTAAAAAAAAAAAAAGTGTAATAAATTCTTTTTTAATAATTACACATGGAATTATTCGTGAATCTAACCATATTTATTATTATAAATCATTTTGGCGGCCAAAAATCCTCGATAGCTTTTAAAGCGCAAACAAACGATTCATGATCCTTGTCCTGCTTAAAGAGACTACAAAAAATTAACTCGTGTAGACGAAGATTACACAATAAATATGATCAAATTTGCGGTTATTGGTGCGGAAGCTACTTTTTGGCCATGATATCAGCAACAGGATAATCCTAAAGTCCAAAAAAGGTCTACGGGATAATCCCAATGTGTTTTTTGTTTAAAACAATGTAGTCAATGTAAACTTGTCAGACACATAATACATTAAAAACCCCTCACATAACACATATTTTCTTCTAACCATTAGTTCAGTGAGCCAATAACAATAGAATTATTTTCAAAAAAAGTTTTTTTTTTCCATAGAAGGTTTGGCTTGCAACAGCGTTCTTCTCCGATACGGTTAAAAGATCACATCTTTCACTAAACAAGTTTTTTATGTTTTATTTTCTTAGAAAAATATTAATCGGGTGGGTTTGTCGATGGCAATTTTTTCTTTTAACTTGAATTTTTTTTACACCAAGGGTTTATGTACATGGTAAACCATTATATGCCTGTCTGTGAGTCGTCAAGCAAGGCCATACATTATTATAGTCGACTTTGAAAAGTTGGTTAATTAATTCCAATAATTATTATAAGCTCTGCATGCCTGCCTGCCATAACTTTATTCTAAGTTCTATTCCGAAAAACAAAAATACACATTTTTAGTGCTGCTTCAAGGCAAATTCACGAAGAATTTTTTTTCTCTTTAAATATTTCATTAGTATTTTGATCAAATCAGATAAAATTTCAGTAGTATTCCGATTGAATCGCACAATATTTCAGTAGTATTCAGATTGAATCTGTCTTATTTCAATAGTACTTTAATTCAAATGACGTTCTATCACACCGCTTTAACTTAGCTAAACAAGATGTTATCATCGTTTATTGCCAGTCATAGTTATTGGCGTACCTAGTATCTCGTAAACACTGTAGGCATTGTTTTTGTTGCAGGCATTTTTTTTGTTGCATTTGACATGAAATCCAGGCCTAGAGTCAGCACTAATAGTTTAGTCAAATTTAATGGCAGGGAGGGGGGAAAGTACACACACACATGTAAAACATAGTCCACACTCACACACAGTTATAAAGTCAGAGGCCGGATGACGAATCCAGGTACTAATTAGTCTATGTCTCACAAGACGAAGATGATAAAAACACATCAGAGACAATGAGTCACCCGTCGGAAGCCAGTCCCCGATTGGCTGACGTCGACGCTCAACACTGCCAGAGTGCCAAGGAGAATGGACGCAACTTGAACACAGTGGCTTGGCATGGAACAATAGCTGCGACATTAAACACATCACACTAGTGTGCCTCCTTGATATGTAACATCATTTGGATGCACGGATTGGCATTTCTGAAAATGAAAAAGCAAACTTAGATTTTCTAATGAAATGAACTATAATCATATGTATGGTTGGCTGAATGTAAACAATGACAAGGTTTAAATTTACGCATAGTTTTACCAAAATTAATATGACATCACAAATAAAATGTAAGGTTAGCCATGTTTTGAATGTTATCCTTATTTGGGCTATATTTGTGTAAAATAACACAGTTTGTTATTTTTTGGGTAGCATCATAGCAAGATGGTGGAGTAAAGCAAACCAAATTTGATAACTTTATCGGTTTTTAATTCTAATGCTCTTGTTAATCGAAATTTTTTCCTGTAAATCATAAATACTTAAAATGCATATTTTTTGCATTCTTAAGTATTTGTACTGAAAATTATTTTAAAGAGCTTGATTTTAAAAATACGACTTTTTTAAAATTCAATTTCTCTGGAGCTATGCAATCGATTTTGCTCAAATTTTGTATTGTACCATGTAAAATTACATACTCTAAAATGATGTAAAAAATTATCTACCTTACAATTAAAAAATTTTTCGACTATTATTATAAACATTTACTAAAATGTATTTTTTTAATGCAATTATTTTTGGATAAACAAACTTTATAATTGTGGGCAGAAAACTTTAAATTTGCTTAAATTCTGCAGATACTGTAAAATAAGCAAGAAGTAAAATTAACATTATGGAGACTACATTTCCCAGATTACGGCTACCTTTATATTTTGAGGGTCAGAAATCTGAAACCGTTGAAAAAAAGGTATGTTTATTGAGAAAAAGTACGCTTTTGCATGCACTAATTAATTAGCATATTTGAGCCTTTAAGATTGAGTCCTTGTTGCAGAATGATTCAGTGGTGAATGGGTGCATTAATTAAAAAAACCATATTTAATAACAACAAATTTAAGAATAAAAAATATGATACGAAATGGGGCTCTCCAATGAGCCATCCAGTTCAAACCATTGCCTGCTACATAAGTGATTACAGAACTATTGTGAGTGATTACAACGCCCTCTTCTGGTCAAGCAAAAATTTGTAACACTCCCCATCTGAACTCTTTTGAGTTCACTTACCATAAATTTGCAAACAAAATTTTCAAGAACAATATTAGTTGAAATATAAAATCAAACATTTATCTTTAGCAGAAATTTGCAATAATAATTAAATGAATGTTCAATAATTAAGATAACAATAAAAAACAATCAATTATAACATATGCATATTATCAAAATATGTATATTTTACAGTCCTAGAACGTGAAGATCTGATAATTACTACAAAAGTTATTCAGTCAAGGTTGTTTGTTCCCCCCCTTTTCGTCTCACTGTTCACTACCACAGTTTAAACCTAAAAAGCAGTAAACTTAAAATCAGATAAGTGATAGACTAAACTTTAAATCATTGCGTTACGATTGTCAACCGCTCGAGTTTCCCAGCACTAAAATTATCAAGAATATCTAGAAAGAAAGTAATTTCATAAGATACTTAGCCTGTGATAGGCAAGAATCAAGGCTAAACTTTTTAGTTTCAGCAGTCTTGAGTGAAACAAAACTTATTAAAATCATTTTCGTTTTTTTTTTTTTTAATACCGAGAAACGTACAAAAATTTTGAAAGAGAATGTGAAACAAATTATAAATGATAATTATTGAAAAATATACTTAGAGCTATAATTAAATTATGAACTAATTAACTCGCAACAATAACTTAAATAATATAGAAATTTAAAAATTATGAAATACATTGTTCTACAACTTGAATGAAATCATGAATTAAGATGATTTTGGGTGAAGCCCGTATTGCTTAAGTATGACCTGGTAAGAATCTTACTGTCTAGAAAAATTGGGAGTATACATATTGGGGGTAATGAACTATTTTAACATTTTATCGAAATTAAATCATGTAAGTTTCAAACAATACTCACTGTTTGCTTGGTTTGCCATGTTTTCATGGCCATTTTATATTTTTCAAATTCATGGCACCAATCTGAGTAAATTTTTCTATATTCTGCTTCTGAAGGAGCACTGCATGTTTCTATAGAATAAAAGTTCAATATAGATTACAATAACATTTGTAAAGGGTTTCTAAAAATACTTCTCTCAATTTACATTTTAAGTAACACTCCACCATAAATGAAGTATTTAAAACAATCTAAACATTACAGATTCTTTCTGAAAATCAATATTTTCTTCTTCAATGCCTAGGCAGACCCTGGTGAGGCTAGACTTCACGTATCAGCATTTTACATAATATAGATTTCTCTTTCATATCCTCTCTTACTACACATGGAGACATGCATAACGATGCATTACAACAATTTTAAATGTAAATGTTTTTTGTTATATTCTACACAAAAATGAAACCACAAACTCAACACTCCTATTCAAACGTATTTATCTTGTTAACCAGCAGTCTTGTTGATTTATAAATCGAAAATGACCTAAAAACGATTGCAGTCTTCCATACTCATTAAGAAGAGATAGAATCTTTTGATTTGACAAAGATTGCTGAGCAGAGTGAAACAAAGATTGAGTGGGAAAAAAAAACATTCTGAATTTGCATTTTAACGTTTTGTCTGTTTATTGATAAATTTATCCTTAATTACTCTTTTAATATATTCTAGTCAATGAATATATTATGAATCATCTCATTTATTTGAATAGCAAAATTTTTTGAGCTATTACGTAAATTAACTTCAACTGTGCAACTGTTTATTCTAGCTTATAGATATTTCTACAGAAACATTTTTGGTTACGAAACCTGCTTTTTAATTGTTTAGAGCAGTGATTCTCAACCTTTTTTTTTTTGGTCGCATCACACTTTTAACGATTTTGAAATTTGATGGCACACAAGGAAAAAGATAAGTTTAAAAGTTGTTTACTTACCTACAACACAGTGTGTAAAATAGTTTATGATAATAATTTTGAATGTAAAATAAAATAATATGTACTATAAAAACAACAGTATGTTTATTAAGGGATTAATTAGCTCTTTCCACTTGTGCAGTTCTTATTTTCGCCTTCTTTCCCTCGCTCCTTTGTTTTATTTTTATTAGTTATTAACTGTTATTTTTTTGATAGTTTGATAATTGTTAGATTATTTTTCATAGTTATTAATTGTTACTTTTTTGTTATGTGATTCCTTGTTAAGTTGTTTTTTTGCTAATTATTATTTTTTATTTATTTGTTAGTTATCCTTTGTTAATTTGTTCTTATAACTATTAATTGCATAGTTTATTTTAATTGTTAGCTTTTATTTCTTTTTGTAAGTTAATATTCAGCTGCTTTCTTTTGATAATTAACAATTTTAATAGTCATTAAATTTTCTACTTATTTTAACATTGTCAGAGACAGGACTACCGATAACCAAGATGTTCCCGCCGTTAAAGCGTGGAAAAATTATAAATAGTATATAATAGTATACTTTTCCTTAATTTAAACTTAACTTGTAATAAAAAAAGCATTATAATTTTTACTAAATCATTTCTAAAATTTGGCGGCACAACAAAAACAATTTAAATAAAAAGTTAGAAACCAAAAATAACGAAATTTTAAAGATATGTAACATACATATATCTTTACAATTTTGTTTTGTTATTTTTGGTTTCTAACTTTTTATTTAAATTGCTTACATAAGACAAATTTGGTTTTAGCTGCTTTGAGCACTTTTCCATTTCTACTTATAAGTTTAAAGTTCAATCCTAAAATTTTTATCTTAAAATTTGTTTAAATCAATTTCATATTTTGAACGGATTTCAATATCAAAATAATAGTCGAAAATTTAAAATTTTTAGTGGTCAAATGGATGCACTTTTTGGCTTGATGGCTGGTGCCAATGCAAACCTCTCTAAGGCCACTGTTCAGTTGTATCATTTAATAAACATAAATATTTAATTCTGCCAAAAATTCACATTCAAATTAAGAATTTCATTATCAATCCTACTTCTGATGCTCATTATTTTTGAAATTTTGCTATTAATACTTGCGTAGCATTCACAATATTGACTATTTTTTGAAATATTTTCTGTCTTTTTCTTTGGAAAGAATGATTAATAAAAGAGAAGGAAAATGCACTTACTTGTATCAACAGTAATGTTGAAGCTGCAGAGAGTGCTCGTACCCAGCTTGCAGTCATAGCGACCAGCATCCCTTTCGGAAACAGACAAGATGACTATACCGTGGTCGGCAGTGTGGATATACTTTTCACGCCTGTGCACAACGGCATATTTGCCCTTTTCTCTGCTGTAGTGGTACCAGCGAAGGGGACCCAAACCCATGCTTTCTATATCTGGCATGTGGATAGCACATGAGAGGTGAACACTTTGTCCCCAAAACACGTGCATTGGTTTGTTCTTCACGCCTGCAGAAACAAAATTTAACATCAATGAATTTAAATTAATTACCATTCAGGGTGCGTAGCCAAATCTTTTAACAAAAAATAAGCCCCTTTTAAGTACTTTTTAAGCACTACATACACTAACAAAATGTAAAATAATTTTCAAAGATTTTACATGATCCTGATAAAAGAACTAGTTTTTGACAAAAAACTATTTTCTTGATTATATTAGAGATTATAAAGTGAGCAAGAGATTTTTCGATTCGATATCAGGTGGCGGAAAATGAAGTCTGAATTAGAGAATATCTTTCAAAATGTAGCAGAGCTGCACATGAGAGTGCAATAATCTCCCCGAATCCAGCTCAGTAGACGCCCGTAGGGATTTGCAAGTATTTCATCAAACATGTAAAATGATTGGCGCTTTCATAAGCTATGGACTGACCGTACGCCAAAATAAATTGTGGCTGAATGAATTGTAAAAACGTTGAACAGAACAACATGAAAAGCACGATTTTGCTTCATAAGTGGCGAAAATCAACAAGGTAAAGAAAAAAACCTCATTTTGGAAAATGGAAAATTAAGCACTTTTTAAAACACCCAAAAAATAAAAAAGCACCTTTAGGGGCTTTTAAGACACGAAAATTGAAAATAAGCACCTTTAAGCGCTTTTTAAAAAAGCTAAGCATCATGATCAGATTTATACCAGGCTTCTAAGAAATGAAAAACCATTTGAAAAATTAATTTATGAAAAATAGAAGATGATGGTAGTTTTAGTTGGCATGAGAGTGTAATTAAAATTCCTATCAACTCAAATCATGAAAATAATTAATAAAATATGTGAAACTATTTTACACCCAAAAAGAAAACATTTAAATTATTTACTTATTGATTCAATTTCTTTTTATTACTATATGTGTACATTGACAATTCAACAAACTATTAAGCTTCAAGTTTAAATCATTTTAAAGATGATAGAATAACAAAGTAAAAAAAGAAATTAATGTAGAAAAATTCAGAATTCTTTTGGAGTTTAGAAAATAGAAGAATCTCATGCTTGTGAATAGGAAACCAGATAATTTATTCCTGCCAAATTTTAGTTACCAGTTTTTTCAACATTGTCATTGGTTGGCAAAACTACAAAACAATGTTTTCTGTTATTATCCAAACTATTCTAATAGGAATATTTGCATAAATTGTCTCCTTATTTATTGTTGATACTAAGAAATATATATAACATATCTGCCAAATTTCCTGTTTTTTAACGAAGACTCCTGTATTTTACGACTATCTCCTTTTTACCCGTATATTCTCAAATTTCTCTGTATGTGTTGATTTCTTCAACAAAAAAAAAAAGTTTTACAAAAAAGTTTTGGCGATAAAATATCCGCTAATAGCAAAAATACTTCTTTTATTCCTCGATAGATAGTACTATTACCAGTAAAGCAGTATGTTAAGCGTTTATAGTTTAAGTAATTATAAATAATGGCTTAAAAAAAAACTTTGTTAGATTAAGAGTTACACACACATTTTTTACTTTGCTAAATGCAGTATATTTTGAATTTCTCTTTTTGACTCACATGATTGTGCATGATGTATCAATACTTTACTTGTAACCAAAAAAATGTCACAAGTAAAGTCTGGGTTATTTTATTTCTCCAATGTTGGCAGGTCTGATATAAAAACATTGTTTTACAGGTTTTCACAGTTACAAAAACCATCTTGAAATTTTTAATTAATTTTTAAAATTAATGAGAATTTAATTAATTAGTTTTCTAAATGGAACCCAGTAATTTATTTATTTCCACTCATTTAACTTTAATTTAGTCTATAAATCGTTAGTCATTCTTTGTGAACCTGGTATAAAAAAATATACGATATTTGGTTATAAACAATTTCTGCTTATACTTACAATTATCACATGTGCCAGGAGTAGCATTGGTTACATCTTGCAACAACCTGTGAAGAAAAATTAAATATAATAATGTATTACAAAACTTCAGAACAAAAAATTTTCAATAATGTATGACCAAAATTTTATTAAATGACTTAATTGTCATATACCATGATCCATTTAGTGAAGTTTATGGCCAATATGATAATTTTTATATAAACGTTAGTGTTCGAATTTTCCATATTGTTTGAAATATATCGGGATATTTAAAAACCACATGAAAATAAATATCAATAAGTGCTGAAAATACAATTGAAACATTACATTGATTTACGATACTATTGGCAGAAATTGAGCAAATCAAAAAGTGATTATCGAAATGCATGATTCAAATTTTATGTATAAATTTCTGTAGAAAAGAAAACTTAATTTTTTTATTTTTCAAAAGAAAAATCTTTCTACAAGAATTCTGTAATGTTCTGCAATAATGTTGCCGTGTCGTTGCGATTCTGTCAGAGTGCTAACAGATCACCCTAGTTAATATGTAGATTAACTAGGTAATGAGCACATTAATGTCCTTAATAAGCTTCAACACATGCACATTTTATTTAAAGAAAATGCTTGATGCCCATTAAATATTTTGTAATAATTAAAGATAAAGGCAAGAAAAAAAAATCCAACTTACCCATTGACATAAGGTTTACATTCCCCGCGTTCTTTATCCCAACCACAATAAGGATCTTGGATACACCGCAAGCAGTTTGCATATCTTCCCTTGCACATAACAAGATCAAATTGTCGCAAAACATAATCAGAAGACACATATAATGATTTGTGCTGAAATGATAAGAAACATTGATCTTAATAGCAAGTAAGGCCCCCATGACAAAAAAACTTCACATACATAAAATAAGGCCTTTTTAAGATATGCAATAATTTTAACAAATTTAAACATATTTTTACTTAGAATAATTTCTATAACATACATTTCTTGCCGAAATCTCTTACCTTGCTAGATATCTCAATGGCCCTAACAGTCTCAGGAACAGTAGCTTCAAAAATATCAACTAAATTAGAATGCTCTTCTCCCAATCTGTCATACCACTCCACTAATTTATAGATGTAACCTTCAGCTAAAAGAAGAAAAAAAATTTTTGACTTTAACTTACAATTGGTTGACTTTTAACAAAAATAAAATACTGTTTCATTAAAAATTTTTTTTTAATAACCTACGTATGCTTTGTTTTATTGATATAAATTATTTAATCTGTAATCATAAATACATAAATTATTTAATCTGTATTACTTTAATTGACAATTGCTTGAGTTTTAACAAAAATAAAATAATTGCTGAGAAAAACATAATTATATAAATTATTCAATCTGTATTACTTTAATTGACAATTGGTTGAGTTTTAACAAAAATAAAATATTGTTTTATTAAAAAAAGATTTTTAATATTCAACATAAGCTTTGTTTTATTGAAGCCAATTGATAAAAATAAAATAAATGCCTAGAAGAACATAATTATGTAAATTATTTATTAGTATTACTGTATTTTTTTAAAAATGTTTTATATAATTAACAATTAAGTTTTAAGTATTTTTTAAAATTTTTATTACTGTTCAGAAAATTTTATGAAAACATAATTACATCAATTATTTACCTAAAAGAAATTATGTTTTTATAAGAGTACTACAAACATGCACCAAATAATAGTTTTTATATTTATTTCTTTTAACAAAAATATAGTTATCAAAATTATTATGAATATACAGCAAAACACCCATTTTGATTAAAATTACATCAAGCATGCTTAGTATTTTATCAAAATATAAATATTTTTACAAAACTATGATGCAACAAAACACCAAATGAAATAGTTTTTACTGTGATCAGTTTTAAAGATAAATCTACAAATTTTTGCTTGCAACGAAATTTTTGAAATGAATTTAGTGATTTTGCAGATTTTTGTAAAAATGCTGAAAACATGTAATCTTACTCAATTATTGTTTCAACATTTAAAGACACGTCACGTCACTTGGAATGACGAAGGGTTGCAGAAAAATGTACAAGATGAAATAAAAATAAATTTAACATTCAACAACTAATTCAAGTATTATTAATTGTTAAACTTGCATCTAAAATACAATTACAGCGACTCGGTTACACCAAATTCTCCCCTCATTGTTTTGCTTTTAATTTGCGAAACTCTTGTCAGGCTGGTCGTGACATATGCTTCTAAAGCTTGGACATTGCAATATTTTAGAGAAAGATTTTGAGGAGTAAAATTAGTGTTGTAAATGAAAATAATAACTGGAGAAGATTTTACTTTGAACTGTACAATATTTATAAACAACTTGATATTATTAAATACATAAAAATAAATAGAATGAAATTGATTCATGAATTTGATGGCCCATATGATTTGAATGAGTGATGACAATACAATAAAAAGATATTGCTTTTTAGACCAACTGGAACAAGAAAGCGGGGAGAGATGGGCTGATCCGGTGGAGTCCAATTTTCTTGCAATTAAAGGAAAGAATAGGAGATCAAAGATAAATTGGAATTCGTTATGGAGAAATCTTCGGACGAAGGCATTGGCCTGGGCTATCTGGCCAACTGTGATGATGATGTTTTGCTTTAAACTATGACCATGCATTCATTGTGGTAGAAATTTCATTTATTTCTAAAGGTCATTATTTTATATGTGCATACTTCAGTTGATGTTTAAAGTAACAAAATATAAGTAAGTACGATAGAAGAAATATATAAATAAGAAAAGACAGATAAATAAATAAGAAAAGTGGAGCACACAGATGGCCAAATCTCTTAGTTTTTTACAAATTAAATAAAATAATAAATAGTGCTGCTGCCTATACATTTCTGATGTTCCTATAATATACTTCTCAGAAGAGGTGTCAACCATATGTACATAGATGCAAACAGGGATAAGAAAAAATTCAGTAGATTTTTAAGAAATATAACTTTCATGATAATTGTTGTATAATAAATTAAATATTTTACGCATAGGGATTTCTATGGTAATCAAAATAGAAAAACTGCAGTATTTTCCAGTTATGATTGACATTAAACATGCTTGAAATGTTATGAATTATGTTTACGCATAATTTTGAATATTAAAAGGCATTTAATTCATCAAAAATAGTTAAAAGATTTTTTTACTTAATTTAAAAAGAGAGTTCTGAATAAAAGTAAACTGAACATTTTAGAAAAAAAAAGAAAAAAAAAAGAAAAAAACAAGTTTGTCAATAATTAAGGCTTGTTTCAAAATGTATGAAAACCAGGAGAATTTTTATCAAACCAGTAGATCAGGAGGAACTGACAAAATCCAGTAGTCTGCTGGAAAATTCAGATAAATAAAAAACATATTTAACATTTTCTAAAAAAGTAAATGACACACAAATAATTAAACACGTACTAGAACCGGCATAATAAACAGTGTATTGAACACCCTCCACTTCAATCATGTCGACAACCAGCGATGTAAAAATGACATCTCTCTTATAATAAACCGGCTTTGCGTTGTCATGGGAGACAGCAGAATCCATGAGGGGGTGACCTCGTATAAAATTGAGGACAGAGTCCGGTAGGGTCTGGGTGTCATTCACACATAATCCAGGGCGGGGTTCCGGCACTTTGCTGGTGAGAACGGGCAGCCAGGCCGAGGATGAAGTGGCTTGTTCTTTGAATTTTCCATTAAACACTTCTTGTATGGAATCTAAACTGTAGCTACATATAGCAGATCCCATCAGACCATTTCTAAAAAGAAACGCATTCATCAATTACATTTGGCAAGGAATACAATTCTTTTTTTCTTAATATAAATATAAATAGAACATCGAACTGTTATTTTGTAGTACAGGTAGACAATGTACACCACTGACCACTTTACTATAATCATACCATTGATCACTAAATTAGGGAACCTTAAGAGGACGCCATACCGGGGTAGAAAATTTTCGTCACAAGTTCTCTTTCTTCTTCATTACTAATTTAAAGGAAAGAAAAAGTAAGTACAGGCAAACCTAGAGTACGTCATAAAGTTTCAACTGCTGAAAAAAATACTTCAAAATATTAAAATGCAAACAAATTATTAGAAAAGAACTTCTCTGTTGTGTAAGTTACCATTTCATAATTTATTTTGATTCGAATATTTTAAAATTTTCTTCTCAGCACTTTAAACTTCATGGCTTACTCTAGGTTTGTCTGAACTCATTTTTTCTACATTTTATATTAGTAATGAAGGAAAAAGAGAATTTGCGAAGAAAATTTTCTTCCGCAGTATGGAACTATAACTATGGTACTATAAGTATGCAACTATAAGTATGGAATTCTTCCTCTTAAGGAGGAAGAATTCTATACTTATAGTTCTAGCCGGCCAGGTGGTTGGCGTGCCTGACTGCAAAGCCAATAGCTGTGGGTTTGAATCCCGCTCTTGACATGGATGTTTCTCTGTGTGCTGTTCTCAGTTATGTGATGTGTGAATATGGCCTACCCTATGAACGGGTTTCTGTGGCAGTGTGGCGTAGGTAAGGTTTCTTGCTTCCGTGACCTTGATTCACAGGTGCCCACTGGGTAACAATAAATGAGCAACCCTTTCGGAATCTTCTAAAGCGAAGAACGAAAGTTCTGTGCTCGTGTTATTAAAAAAAATATATATATATTTCTGCTATCAGTGTTACCCTAAAATTAATTTTTGGGCAGAGAAATACAAAATGGAGGAGTGTACTTTAAAAGAAAGATAAAATATGTAAATTACCACCATTTTATGACACAAATTATTTTAAAACTGACATATTCATGTAAAGCCCTCCAGAGTTATTGAATACATATTTAACCTTAAACATGATTCCATACTATTTTTTATGCTACTTACTGCTTCATTAGACTAAGAAGCTTTTTTAAAAATAACCTACAAATAAAATATATTGCATTAAATTTTTTATGTACTTTTTTTAAAGTTTATAAAATTTTACAGAAAGTCCCAAATTCTTGTTACATCTTCGTTATTGGCAAGAAAAAGAGGATTCCTTTTTCGAGAATCTGGAAACATCAACCAAATTTTCACGCAAGGATGATTTTTTCAAACAAATTATTTTATTTTGAGTCGCAAAACGTCAAACAGTTGCAATTATTTGCAGTGTTAGAACATTAACAATCACTTTACCGAATTACATGACAGGGGTAAGGATATATGACAGGCCCTCTCTTCACTGCAATAAATATACAGAAATCCATCATCTGCATGCATTTACGATGAACAATTCAATCGACTGGTGCTCGAACACATTTTTTCCCAACAGCAAAAAAAAAAAAACAAACTAATAATTTTATAAATTGTTTACAAGGAGCATTTTAACCACCAAGTAAAATTTTTTGATGGGGCTAAAATTGGAAGCATATTGATGAACTCTCTGTAGTATCATTTCTAGATTAAAACAAGTTGTTATGGAAACAAGAGCAAACTTATTTCTAATGGGGTTGTGGGGGAAAAAATCACATAGATAGGTTTTCCAGTAGGCTAGTTTATAAACAAAGTGAGGATTATTTGTTAAATTTTTTTTGTTCTGCTCTGGCTATTAAACCGGCAAAATAACAATAAAATTGTAAATTTTTTTCAGGAAAAAAAAGTTTAAACTAACTTATGATTGTATGTATTATTAGATTGACTATTAGATGTAACTAAACTTATTAATATAAATTTTCAGATGGTATCTTTAAAAATGGAAAAGTATCACTAGTATGCATTATTATCATCTTCATAGTATGCATTATTTCCATTGTTTTAAGTATGCATTATTATTTAAAGTTTGCATTATTACTAGGGCTGCAGGTTTGTCGCGGCACGAATTTCCACAATGATTTCTGCGAAATTGTCATCTTTTTTCCTAAAATCCGCGAATTTCTCAATATGTCTTGACTTGCGCGAAAATTGCTTAAAATTTGATTTTTTATTTTATTTATTATTTTTATTAAACAGAATTTTTTATTTTCCTGAATCTTAAATTGAACAAGTAAAATTGATTAGATATTTAGGGGAGTGAATCAATAGCAAAATAACATGAAAATAGTTCAGAGATAAGAGATAATCACAATCTTGTCAACTAAGGTGGTCTTTCTACACTTAGGGAGGGTAATTACCTTCCTGAAGTCAGTAAGAGTACAAAAGAAATTGGAATCACAAAAGAAGGAAAATGTTATAAATCAAATCTTTGACAGAAAAATTGTTATACATGCTATTGCACTGGGCAATGAAATTTCTACTGCCTTTCTACATATCCAGTTAATTTTTCCTAGGCGGCTTCTTGTGATTTCTTAAATATGGATCAGTTTCTTAGATGAAGGGGGGGGACTAGTAGTTAGTAGGGACTTGTAACTAGTAGTTTGAATGTAGAATGTTTGAGTTTTCACAGCAATTACTTCTTACAAAGCAACGGTCAAGGAATTGCGCGTTGGTGAAGGAAAATTGATCGAGTTTTGGAAATCAAAGACCGAACGCTCCAAAATTGGCAAAAGTGGCAATTCGAAGTTTGTCGGTGCCTAAAAACAGCGTTGACGCAGAAAGATCGTTTTCTAAGTATAAAAATGTATTAAGTGATGAAAGACGAAGGATAAATGAGAATAATCTGACAATGTACAATACTTTGTACCAAAATTCTGTTCATTTAAATAAAAATATTAATATTGCTTGAAATTCAAAGAAATACTTTTGTTGTGTATTTTTAAGCTTTTTTTATTATTTGCGCAATTTCTGTCTTTTGCATAATTTATATAATAAATTTTTTTATGTTTAGAATTTGTGTAATTTTCAAAATTTCCCGCCATTTTTCCGCGAATTTGGGGTCTTTTTTCCCGCGACAAACTTGCAGCCCTAATTATTACCATCTTTTTAAATGATGAATTATTTTATTTTGGAAAATTAAATTATAAAAATGAGGAACCTGAATTAGTTAAATATCAAATTTTATGTAAACTCTTCAATAAAAGAAGAAAAAATATTAATAGCATAAAAATGTTTTCATCAGGTCTTGGGCATAAATAATAATCAATAGGGTTTTCTGTTGTGACCACCCTTAATGCAAATTTTTAGAATTCTTTTAAATAATGAAGTAAATCTATGCATGATTTAAGCGAGGAAGAGCAAAAAAGATTTTATAACTTTGACCATTCACAATTGTGGTCAACAAGTGAGAAGGGGGAGGGGTTAAAATCATCTAAAATTTGATAGATAATAAAATTTGATTTGATAGATAAAATAGAATGGTGCCTAGTGGTCATTTCTAGCAAATAGAGAATGCTTTTCAGTTTAAGTAGACAAAATGCTTTTTTATGATTTTAAACCCTCATCGTTCTTCCAAACGTGACTAATAATTGGTCAGATTTTGAAAGTATTTTTTGTCACACTTAAATACTTAGTCTTTGTAATCTCTAACGTGTTCAGTCTTTTGAGTTTTTTTTTTTTTTTTTTTTAAATAAGAATTATTATAATACATATTAAGGGTAGTCCTTACAAAACATAATATAAGTTAAAATTTGCTTTAAAATAAATATTTGGTTATAGGCCTCTTAGCTTTGTTAAAACAAAATAATTACACTGAAAAGGAATAGGATGGTTGACACTTACGTAGAAGTTGAAAACACAGCATAAAACTTCTTTTCATCATCTGGATGCTTATAAACATGTTCTGAAAGGAAAAAAAAACTTGACTCAAAATTGTATTGATTTAATTTTATTGCAAATAATTAATTATTTAAAAACAATATTAATTCTCATAACATTTATTTATACTGTTAAAAGAAGAATGTGAAATTTTCTAGAATAAGAATATAAAAGCAAAACAAAACTCAAAGAAAATTCAATATTATAAAAATAATGCTATTTATAAACAATATTCATCAATGGCAAAGAAAATTCAAATTATTATGAAAATAATGCTATCTATAAATAATATGAAGTATGATAGATACACTTATTAGAAACTTTATTTTCTAAGCTTACCTCAAAATATTTTTGCAGCTAAATAATTACGAAAGTTAACTTGAAATTAACTTCTTCTAGCTTGCATTGATCATGTAAAATATCCCCAATGGTAGGTTGATCATGGGCCAGAATCTTTTTGCCACTAGGCTAACCATAGAAGGTTTTTTGTAATTTCATTGTATAACACACATTTGCGTTAGTCCCTCCATTTAGAAAAAAAAAACTCTAAAGGCAAATTTGTCTCTAAGTTTGAGTGTCCCTCTTCTTTTGAGCTAAGACTACAGAGTTGTACAATGGTGGTCACAAATCTGATATGCTAGTTATAAAATACATTTCCAGATTGTTATAATTAATAGGACATTATAGAGTAACATTTAAAACAGGCTCTGGGGATATGGCGATCGCCTCCTAATAAGGTGACCCGGGTTCGATCCCAGCAACAGTTGGTCGATTCAAATTCCGCACCCGGCTCGCACCGACCACAGTGCTGACATACAATATCCTCAGCAGTAGACGGATCATGGGTTAGAGTCCCCTTGCCGTTAGGCTAACCGTGGGAGGTTTTCCTCTCTGTGTAACACAAATGCGGGTTAGTTCCATCAAAAAGCCCTCCATGAAGGCAAATTTCTCCCAATACTTGATCCAGGAATTTCCTTGTCTTCTGGTTTGGTTCAAAATTACAAGGCTACAGAGTTGAACATTAGTAGTCGTAAACCCGAAAATTGGGCGGCTGTTCAACACCCGTTATATATTAAAAAAACAAATATCAATATAACTCAGAATGTCACAAAGTCAATGTTTGAGAATCGTGGGTTATAGTCCCCTTGCCTTTAGCTAATCGTGGGAGGTTTTCCTCTCCATGTAACACAAATGCGGGTTAGTTCCATCAAAAATATCAATATAACTCAGAATCTCACAAGGTCAATGTTTGAGAATTTTGGCCAAATAAGAGCAAATTGTGCCATTTAGCTAATATTTTGCTGAAATAGCTATAAGGCAAGGTACATAGAATTATATAAATAAAAAAATATGTGTTAGCCATTAATCTGCAGAGTTATCTGATTCAGTTTACCTTTTACAGCCACTAGATAACAAATATACTTAATTGCCTGGCCCAATCTAGATCCTTTAGAGCAAAATCTAAACGTCCCAATCTTGGCTCATAGGTGTAGGCCTCAGAAGAGCCAAATTTGAAAAGTACTGGAGCCAAAATTAAACAGGGTGACAAAATTAAACAAAAAAAAAAATAGCCAGACTTTTAAACAAAAAATAAGCACCTTTTAAGTACTTTTTAATCACTCAAAAAATATTTTTAATCACTTTCCAAAAAAATAATAATTATAATAATAATCACAGGGTTGCTACAGCAAAAACGGAACAAAAACAGTTGCTTTTAGTAGCCTCAAGCAGGAAAATAGTTGCCTAAAACTATGAAAATAGTTGCCTGAACAGGGACAAAAAATTTTCAAAAATAGTAGCCAAATAACTAAAATTATAGCTTAATTGTCAAATACTATGATTAGGACTGGGTGATGTCAGAAATTTAAAACATCGCAATGTCTAACGGACAATGTATCACGATTTAGCACATGTTCAAAAAATACCTATGGCAAATCTTTAAATCAATCAAAAATAAATAAAAAGGAATAAATCTATTACAAAAGAAAATATTAATTCTAAATATATTCTACAATGACATTAATATATCATTGTTTAATTTTTTCAATTAAAATAATAAAGTCAAAGTAAAAGCAAACCCAAGCTTTATTTCATTTTTCTTAAATTAAAAATGATTTAAGATTTATTGGTTTAAAAATAATAATACTGTAACAAAATATTTTACATGCATTAAAAATTTAAAGGAAAAAGAACAAAAGTAGAAAACAAACCAAAAAATGTTCACTTAAGGAAAAAAAAAAAATTGTTTTTTTTAATTATTTGTTGAAAAAAAACCCATGAAAAATGATTTAAGATTTATTGGTTTAAAAATAATAATACTGTAACAAAATATTTTACATGCATTAAAAATTAAGAGGAAAAGGAACAAAAGTAGAAAACAAACCAAAAAATGTTCACTTAAGGAAAAAAAAAATTTTTTTTTAATTATTTGTTGAAAAAAAAACCATGCTTTTGAAACATCATTAGAACCTCTTTTTATTTAATTATTTAAATAATAAAAAGTAGTATTAACTAATGGTCAGATTCAGTACTTAATAAATATTAAAATATTTTTACTTATTATTATTTTCTTTTTTAAAAATAAAATCGACTAAATATTTATTTGTTTAAAAATGATACTGGCTATCTAACAAATTATAAAACAAACAAGCATTTAAAGAATTTTAATAGAAATTAAAAAAAAAACTTTTAAGTACTAATGTTAAATTATTAAAAAGCATCAAAACATTACTAAACTCTTTATTTAATTTTAAAAAAATTATTTGTTTTTTAACTAATAGCCAAATTTTGTAAATTTTTTTTTTTCAGTTTGTCTAAAGTAAAAGCACATTAAATAAAGGTAAGCTTTATTTTAATTTTTTTATAATTAAAAATGACTGAACATTTATTGGTTCAAAAATAATCAAATTATTTCACTTACCAACATTAAATAAATTTTAAAAAATTAACTTTTCATGACAAAGTTAAACACAAAATACCTCTATTAAATTGTATCGCTTAAAATGAAAAACAATAATTGAAAAAAATCAATGAAGAATCCTTTTTTAAATTCATATTTTCGTTTAATTGATCAATTGAGTTCAGAAAGAAAATTTAAGATAATCGCGATTGTGCAGCAATCGCAAAGTAACAATAGGTCTACTAAAAATAATTGACAAGAATCGTTAAATCCAGACAGAAAAAAAATGGTATGAAATAATGCAGAAAGAAATGATCGCTGCAAAAGTCTCACTGAAAATAATTTACAAGAAACCCGACAATTATTTCCGACGAAATAAAATGCACAACGATCGCAAAATGACTTAAAGTCCCATTGAAAATAATCTTCAAAAAACGCAAAATCCCAAAGACAAAAATGGACATAAAGAAACTATACAATGCTGATCCTCGCACAAAACTTGGTGTTCTGATTCAATTCGCTCTTCGTCATTCAACACCACGGAACTAACATCGTCTTTATAGCTAGCTAAACGCTATCTACATCTCTGCAGCCAGACGAAATCAAATTCGTCTTCGTCAGTGCGGTAACAGCGTTAGCATAGTCAAGGATCCTTGCATATTAAATCGTTAAACCGCGATTGTAGTCTTATACAGGTGGCTTAACTCAGATTTCTGATGCATCGCCTAACACAAAAGTCACTATATCGGCCTACCGATATATGCTTTAAATCGATAGCTCGTGATACATCGATTTATCACCCAGTCCTAACTATGCTCCAATTAAAAAAAATTTATGTACAAATATAAAAGGTATACATATTAGAAAATAGGTACCCAAATAAAAGTCTAATTACAATAAAATATTAATGTTAATAGAAGGAAAAAACAATTAAAAAGAATAAAACAGATCCTCTAAGAGAAAATATAACAAGTACTTTATTAAATCTAATTAAATTTTCGGCTTTTTGGACATATATGATTGTATAAAAGTTTGCTTTCTTTTATTAACAATTTAGTTTCTTTTTTGTTCATTTGTTTCATACTCTTTTTCTTCATAATTGCAGACCACCTTCAATCATGCCTTGTGCAAGTCTAATTCCTTGCATATCCTTAGCCTAAGGGCTCTTTAAGTCTTTCATTCGCTTCTTCTGACAACCTGTCAGCTGTTTCTTTCAGTGGGGTGAAATAACAAGGGAGGAGTTAGTGTGATGACGTCACTGAGCACTATGCACATGGAAGGCGGCACTATGTACGTGTTAGAGAGGGGACTGTTGTTGTTGTTAATTTACGTCGCACTAGAGCTGCACAATGGGCTATTGATGACGGTCTGGGAAACATCCTGGAGGATGATCCGAAGACATGCCATCACAATTTTGATCCTCTGAGGAGGGGATGGCACCCCCGCTTCTGTAGCTCGACGACCTGCGCGAAGTCGAGCACTTTACAGTAGCACAGTTTAACGAGGACCAATACCACACACCCTCGGTCCCTACGCAGACTGATCCATGTGGTCACCCACCCGCACACTGACCGCAGCCAGTGATGCTTGACTTCGGTGATCTGCTGGGAACCGTGTCTTAACGATCAGTCCACTGCGGGACAGAGAGGGGACAGAAAAGTAACATTCATTTTTGAGAAAAACTTCGCTAAGAGTAAAAAAGTTTACCAATAGTCGCCTATTCCTGAAAATAGTTGCTTTTTTTTAGCCTTTTCAGGCAAAGAAAGTCGACATAGTCGCCTAAGGTCGAAAACAGTAGGAAATAGTCGCATTTCAGTGGTCTGTGACAACCCTCCTGTAGTCATAATTAGGATCTGTGCAGTAATAAAAATTATTTTTTCCTATCATTTAAAGTTCTTAATTTATAAAAATAAAATTAATGAAATTCAAAAACATTTTTAAAAACTTTACGTAATCATAATAAAAATAAATAGTTTCTGTTAAATATCGCAGAGAAAATTGTGAATTTTTTTTGTAATTTAGAACGACAAAGAAAACGCCTTTTTTAAAAAGATAGAAAATCAAGTAATTTTCACCAATGCCAAATAAAAAAGCACCTTTAAGGGCTCTTAAAAAACGTAAATCAAAAATAAGCATCTTTAAGCACTTTTTAAGAATGCTACACACCCTGTTAAATTGCTGGTAGGGAAAAGTTTTTAGAAAACAATCATTAGTTATCCAAATTATCGACAGCAACTTCGCTAACAATGTGTTAAATACAGCAAAGATCGTTGAGGGAATGGATTATTCTCCATTGCAGAAAGAAACAGGGCACCAGCAGATTTAAGTAGACAATATTAAACTTTAAAAATAAATAAATGAATATAAAAAAAACAGCTTTTGTTACTAGAAAAAATTGTCAGTAAGAAAGATAAATGCAATGCAAGAAACAGAATATGAGAGGACAAATTTAAAACATTCAGCTCAGAAGAATATTCAGTCTGAGTGTTGTTACAGAAGAATATAAATGGGAGATTTATACTATTTTAAATAGGAAAGCGCTTTCAGTAAAAAAGAACTCGGAAATTTGAATGTCCAGGGTCCTATCAGCCTTCAGTTTCTAAAGCAGGCAACATTAAGCTTTAAAAAAAATGAATAAAAAAAACAGCTTTGCTATTAAAAAAATTGACAGCAAGAAAGATAAATACTAATTAATGAAAGAAACAGAATAAGAGAGGACAAATTTAAAACATTCAGCTCAGACAGCTGTCGCAGAAGAATATTAAGTCTGTTACTAAAGAATGTAAATGGGAGATTTATATTATTTTAAATAGGAAAGGGCTTTCAGTAAAAAAGAAAATGAAAATTTGTATGATCTGAATTTCAGCCTTCAGTTTCTAAAGTATTGCAAACTCACCCTATACACATAGTAAATAAACAATGTTATAAAAAAAATAAAACCATTAACAAAAATTTTTTTTTTTCATTTTAAAGAAATAAAAAAAAAGGAAAATAGTATTAGTGGAATACTTACGAATTTCATTGAAATAAAATGGAAACTCTCCAGGAATGGAACAATTTAATCTTGCTTTCAAGAAGGAAGCCCAGTTTTTGTTTAAGATGTTTTTTCCACCAGTATCTCTCTGAAATACAAAAATATACAATGTATTAAATATATTATGATTCGGTTTTATCAGAGATATATAACTCCAATATTTCGATTTTTTAAAAAATTCTTTCATCATGGCCCACGGAATCATATATGAAAAAGTATTTTTGACTTTAGTTGCCAAAGATCATACGGAAGTGATCTCAATTCCGTCCTTTTGGGTATGTATGCTCTTGGAACGTGCAGATTAGGGAAATCGCTTTTTTCTCCTTCCACCGGTCTTCCAAAACTACATACAATACTTAATACAATGCAAGAATATACAATGCAGGAATTTAAGGTACTGATAAATAGAAAAATATTCTAAATATCAAAAAAAATATCCATTAAATTTATTTAAAAAATAGAATTAATTAAAGTACTTTAAATCCAAGAATATTTCTCAAAGTTTGCATCTTTAAATTAATCCAGTTAGCAGTTCAGCAACTTTCAAAACACGAATAAATAATAATATATAATTTTAATTTATAAAAATTTTACACTTTTTCCATATTGCTACTGATGCTATTTTTTCTGAAAATTTAAATTTTAACCTTTCATCAACTTGGCTCCTCAGCACCATAACTTCTCAACCAAAAATAAAAATGCGTAGCAGTTTTTTTTTTTGGGAAAAAATAAAAAATTCAATATTAAATTAATGTACCTGGACATTTTTTTACTTATTTTTAAAAAGGGAGTTCTAAATAAAAATAAACTGAACATTTTTGAACAAAAAAAGTTAACTGATATCTATAAATGAGGTTCGTTTCATTATGTATTAAGACTTATTTAAATATTCAAGTAAGTAATAATCTGTGCAAAAATGCTGTGACAATAGAGACTTTTGTTTCGAAACATACTCAATTTTAGGAGATTTTCTAAAATCTACCAAAACCAGAAGAATTTTTATTAAATCAGCCGGCAAAAGCCAGTAGGGTTGGTAGCTAAGCATATTCATTAATTTTCAGTGCATTTTAATTCATTTGCAGATTTGTGATTCTGTTGGTTATTGCCATGAATTTAGTTTTATCATCGTTGACTGGCAATCGATGCATAGGCAGATTTTTCAGCAAAAAAAATTTTTTTTAAATACTTTTTAAGCACTCAAAAATATTTTTATTCACATCCCAAAAGAAAAATTAAAATATCATAATTAGGATCTGTGCTGTAACAAATCCCCCCCCTATCGTTTAAAGTTCTTAATTTATTAACGTTAAATCAATAAAATTCAAAAAAACTTTCAAAAACTTTACATAATCATGATAAAATAACTAGTTTCTGATAAATATTGCAGAGAAAACTGCCAAAATCATGCATTGTTTTGTAAATTAGAACGACAATCTACACGACAAAGAAAAAATCTCTTTTTAAATGATAGAAAATTAAGCACTTTTTACAAACACCGAATAAAAAAAAAAGCACATTTAAGGACTTTTAAAAAACATAAATCAAAAATAAGCACCTTTAAGCACTTTTTAAAAATACTATGCACCCTGTATAAGGTGGGAATACCTTTTGCAGAGTTAGAATTGCATAAATTATTTTATTTAAGTACTAATATCATAAAAAGATAGCTAAAATTTCTTACTTTGCATACTCTGGCTACCCTTGAATAAATATTTTTTCCACAGTTTATGTATTCTACAGCACTCTCCCGGAAGAAAAAATATACATAGTCACCTATATCATATGATCCAACAAAATGTGGCTCTGAAAAACAAAACACAAATGAGCTACCTAAAAACTGTTTATTTGCAATACATAGCCTAGTAAAAAGTTTTACATAGCCCAATAAACACATACCTAGCTGAAGATTATGTTTAGATTAAGGCGAAAAAAATACCGAGATAAAAATACAGCAAATAATGATTTCTGATATAAACAGGGTGTTTCATAAACATTGATCTTAACATATGGATGATGATTTCAGCAGCAGAGGGCGATGTAATCTTTAATTCAGTATAACTTCAGGTTATTGTATCCTGTCTACTTTCTCGCTATTTGGCTGTAACATGGACTGTTTTTCTTTGTTGTTTGAACTTCATTCCTTTACTAAACCAACAAGAGCAAGATAAAAAAAACTACCTAGCTGTGTAATACATGCGGGGATCTGTCTAAGTTTTTTTTTAGAGGTACCTATTTTATGAAAATTTAGACATAATTTGAGAAAATTAAAAATTATATTAAAAAATCAACACTAAAATATGGTAAAGTTAGAAAATATTTTCAAAAATTGTTACTACAAATAAAAAGTATTTATGACTGGTAAATTTCTATATATTTTTCCCCATATATTTAAAAATAATTTTGCTATTATAAAATCTTGGGCTTAAAATTGTACCCAAATTTAAAACTCCATAAAAATCATTGTCCATAGTTAAATTTCAACTTGAATTTAATAAAAACATGCATTTAACACTACTAACAATAAAAATTAGCTTCATTTAGAGAACATTTTCGACTAGGTCATACAAAAAAAAGTTTCACAGAAAAAAGAAATTTTTTTCATAAAAAATAAAGGTCTGTTATAATAAATTTACAATAGTGTTAAAGATAATGTTCGAATGTTTAGAATAATGTCCAAATTTTGACTTCCTGTAAAGTTTATAGAGGGCTCGTCGTTTAATTTTAAACAAAAAAGCTTGCTTTGATATGGCATAAGCGACCCGTGAGGCTTACACATTGTACTATCTGACCAAACACATGCTATCTTTTCGTAAAAGACAGCTGGCAGAAAAGCTCTTTTCCACAGATTGCAACGAGAACGGGGTTTGCATGAGAACTTGTTTTTTAAAAATTATTTTGTGAAACTATAGTTTTTTTTTAAAGTTGAATTTGTGAAGGTACCACTAAACGGTAGTAAATTTACCTTGGACAGATCACTGGCATGCAATACTACGATAAATCAGAAAGACAAATCTAGCTGAATCAAGGCTGCAAAATTAGTGATTTCTTCAAAAATTAGGCAACTAGTCTCTCCTTTTCAAAATAAAAATCTGAATTATTCTAAACGACTTTGTTTTAATACTTATGAGGATCAAATGTCAGAATAGATATGTTATGAATTGTAATAAAGTTTAAATCATACTTTTAATCATTTTTACATTTCAATACAACAAAATCAATCGTTCAAAAATATCACCAAGTAGGATAATTAATAATAAGCTAGCAATGAATTTCTACCAGAACTTTTAGAGAAGGATTTCTGAATATTTGCTTACGCTTACTAGCTAAATTCGCTTTTGAAATCACCATATATTCCGAAGTTCAAATTAGGAACTTTGTGGAAAAAGTTTTAATTTGCTTAAAAATATGTTACTACAACAGTTAAACCTGTTTATCTCAAACCTCTTTATCTCGAAAACCATTATATCAAAAAATTCCTTACATTTACTATTTAAAATCAATGTATTTTCCATGTCTATCTCGAAATTTTTACTTTCGAGACATCTGTTTCTCGAATTTCTAATAGTCGAGCACAAATGCCCAAACAACATAACAAACAAAGAAGGTTAGACGTCAAAAATCCTTAAAAAGATTATTTTCAGTGTTAAAGGTATGTAAATTTTTTTTATGTAAATAGATATATGTGGCNCTATTTTGTGAAAATTTAGACATAATTTGAGAAAATTAAAAATTATATTAAAAAATCAACACAAAAATAGGGTAAAGTTAGAAAATATTTTCAAAAATTGTTACTACAAATAAAAATTATTTATGACTGGTAAATTTCTATATATTTTTCCCCATATATTTAAAAATAATTTTACTATTATAAAATCTTAAGCTTAAAATTGTACCCAAATTTAAAACTCCATAAAAATCATTGTTCATAGTTAAATTTCAACTTGAATTTAATAAAAACATGCATTTAACACTACTAGTACTAAAAATTAGTTTCATTATGACAACATTTTCGACTAGGTCATACAATAAAAAATTTCACAGAGAAAAAAAAATTTCAAAAAAAATAAAGGTCCATTAGAATAAATTTACAATAGTGTTAAAGATAATGTTCGAATAACGTCCAAATTTTGACTTCCTGTAAAGTTTATAGAGGGCTCGTCGTTTCATTTTAAAAAAACTCAGTGAAAATGATATGGCATAAGTGACCTGTGAGTGTTACACATTGTATTATTTGACCAAACACGTGCTATCTTTTCGTAAAAGACAGCTGGCAGAAAAGCTCTTTTCTACAGATTGCAACGAGAACGGGGTTTGCATGAGAAATTGTTTTTTTAAAATTATTTTGTGAAACTACCGTTTTTTTTAAAAGTTGAACTTGTGAAGGTACCGCTAAACGATAGTAAATTTACCTTGGACAGATCACTGGCATGCAATACTACGATAAATCAGAAAGACAAATCTAGCTGAATCAAGGCTGCAAAATTAGTGATTTCTTCAAAAATTAGGCAACTATGTCTCTCCTTTTCAAAATAAAAATCTGAATTATTCAAAACGACTTTGTTTTAATACATATGAGGATCAAATGTCAGAATAGATATCTTATGAATTGTAATAAAGTTTAAATCATACTTTTAATCATTTTTACGTTTTAATACAACAAAATCAATTGTTCAAAAATATCACCAAGTAGGATAATTAATTATAAGCTAGCAATGAATTTCTACCAGAACTTTTAGAGAAGGATTTCTGAATATTTGTTTACGCTCACTAGCTAAATTCGCTTTTGAAATCACCATAGATTCTGAAGTTCAAATTAGGAACTTTGTGGAAAAAGTATTAATTTGTTTAAAAATATGTTACTACAACAGTTAAACCTGTTTATCTCAAACCTCTTTATCTCGAAAATCGCTATATCTAAAAATTCCTCACATTTACTATTTAAAATCAATGTATTTTTCATGTCTATCTCGAAATTTTTTCTTTCTAGATCTCTGTTTCTCGAATTTCTAATAGTCGAGCACAAATGCTCAAACAACATAACAAACAAAGAAGGTTAGACGTCAAAAATCCTTAAAAAGATTATTTTCAGTGTTAAAGGTATGTAAATTTTTTTTATGTAAATAGATATATGTGGCATAATTAATTTACAGAAATGCTTGTATTTTTCTACTAAAAGCAATTAAAGCACCTTCAATCAAATTTCTTAATTAAAATGAATTTTTTAAAGTACCAGTATAACTTGAAACCTCTTTATTTCAAATTATTTGCCTCTCTCGTGAGATTAGAGATAAACATGTCCTACTGTACTAATCTTTTTTTCTTTTTTTTTAAAACAGTAAATTAATATTTAATGGATATAAGTTGAATATGAAATTGCCATAAACCAAAATAATAGTAAAATAGTAGTTTATTTCTTAAATTAAAGCAAATTAGACTTGACATTTCTGATGAAGCTCAGATAAAAAGATTGATAACAAGTAGGAAGAATTAGAGATATTAGTAAACATACTATCAAGCCATTTAGAATCATATTTAATAGTTCTTTTGAATGGATGTACACTTGCACCACTGGTCAAATTATAAAGATTTGTTCGAAAAATCACAGTATCTGCTTTGGTAAATTCGGCCACTGTCCCACTGTACAGTCCAGGAAGTCCACCTGGATTTCCATGCTCTGAAAAAAAAAATGAAATAACTGAATTACTTACGACAATATAAATCGAAAAACTTTTAAATAATAAACCACTATTAATTATCATATTGAATAACATTGTTACATTAATTAGAATGAAAGACTATTGAAGATAATATTTTTGAATTCACTAAAAAGGTTTACTAAGCATTATCTAGTAGTTTTTATAATTAATACTAAAACTTGAACTTACATCTTCATTTTTAATTTTTTACTACCCTCATATTTTTCTATTTTATTTTTGGATTATTGTAAGAGGTCATACAATTCCTAATTGCATGGCAGTCACTCCGGAAAAATATCAAGAATGAACTTATCTTTTGACCAATTGTCATGGTCTAACAATATTTAGAAGAATTTTTCAGAAATTCATAGCTCTTAACACAAGAATGGCTCTTAAACAGGGTGCGTAGCCAAACCTCTCAACAAAAAATTAGCACTTTTTAAGTACTTTTAAGCAATCAAAAGTACTATATACATCAACAAAATACAAAATAATATTTAAATACTTTACATGATCATGATAAAATTACTAGTTTCTGACAAAGAGCTCTTTTCTTGATTATATTAGCCATTATAAAATGATCAAAAGATTTTTTGGTAAAATATCAGAGGGTGGAGAATGAAGCCTGAAATTGAGAGTTGCACATGAGAGTTCAATAATCTCACCAAACCCAACTTAGTAGATGCACATCCAGACTCGCAAGTATTTCATCAAACATGTAAAATGATTGGTGCTTTCATACGCTAACGACCGACGGTACATCGTAATAGATTGCGGTTGAATGAATTGTGAAAACGTTGAATAGAATAATGTGAAAAGCACACATTTACATAATGCATGGCGAAAATCAACATTTACTTCTTTAAAAACATCCACTGAAAAAAGCACCGTTAAGGGCTTTTAAAAAACGAAAATTGAAAATAGCAACTTTAAGCCCTTTTTAAAAACGCTAGGCACCAAGTTATATTATACCAATAATTGATTATTTTTTCTAAAAAAAGATATATTTTCTACATTTTATTGGTTTATTTTTGAAAAAAATAAATAAATAAAAGCTAATCTTGTGTATTTGTCTTTTTTCTCTCTTTTTTTTTTTTTTACAATTGCTGAATTACACTTTTTCTTGGAACCATTCACACTTTTTATTTTACACTTCATCATCATTAATGCTTTGTCCTAGATCTATAAATTTAATATTTTAAAAATAATCTTAATTTACAGGGTATCTGCTACATTTTAGATTTTCAAATTCATGACTTTTCATGATTAATTCCAAGAACTTTTCATGACTTAACGAAGTTACTATTTTCTCCTGACACAAATAGAACAATATATTTACAAAGTATTATAATAACATTAATTGAAATGATAGGCATAACCAAAACTGCTGTACTCTGCATCTTCATATTTACAGATTTTAAATTTAAAAAGCAGAGTAAAAAAAGAGTTGAAGCAATAAAATAACTGAAAAAAATACAAAAGCAAAAAACTATACAGTCCGATATATGTAGTTATTTAAAGCTGTTTTATTTCTTCTTTAAAGTAAGTGTAATATAAAAAGCCTAAAATATAATTTTAAATTGATGAAATAAAAATAATAAATAGATAAAAAATTCTGAAATCAGGGAAGTTTAAAAGATAATTCACTCTAGAAATGATGTTCTTTCTTTCATTTTTTTTAAGAGCAGGATAAAAACATTTTATATTTTAATAAAATATGACTGTGAGTGAGGATTTAGTTACAAATTCAGAGCATCGGAACACTGAAATTGAACATTCCATTTTAAAAATGAGATTTTTTGGCAACCTAAATCCATGACTTTCCACGATTTCCTTTAAAAAATAATTAAAATCATGACATTTCATGACAAATTTTGTACAGTACCAAAATTCATGACTTTCCAGGTATGCGGATACCCTGAATTTAGCTTTGCCCAGTATCTCAAAATTTTAAAAGGGGGGAAGCAGATTCAAATTTAGCAATGTGAATCTTGTTTAGAGGATGAAATTCAGTCAATCGCATTCTTTCATGGTAGAGTGACATCATTACTTGATGATTTTACAATAATTATGAAGGGAAAAAAATGATGTTTTCAAAAAAAGTAATAACTTTTATTTTAACGTAAAATAATTGTCACATTATTTTAAAGGAAAAATTAATTAGTAAATGAAAACTTAATTTGAAAAACAAATTGAAAATAAATATTTATTGGAGGACAGGAGAATCAATCCCCTGATCTTTTCTAAATACTGATTTCAGTCCTTGGGACTGAAGATTGGCCACCATGCTAACTGGTGTTCTTAGTTCCTAATTCAATCATTCTCACTGGTGATGTACTGCATTATATAATTAGATCCAGCCACTTGATACACCAAGTTCTGAAGGAATAAGTGCAAGAAACATTAAACATTTCTTTTCCTTTTAATGCTGCAAAACTTTCGCGATTATATTTGTATTATTGTTATTTTATTACTATCTTATTACCATGATGTGGGGTAGCTTCCCACTTGTAACCTTCATCAACCAAACGGTACCTAAAGATTGAATCGAGTTAGCATGCTTTACATACTAGTGAATTGATGTTTAATAATCATAGTGATAGTTACGCCACAATACACTCCCCCACCAGAATTTTATCAGGAATAGTATTCAATGATCGGATATCACTAGTTACTGTATTTGTGAAAGACGTTTGTCGTGAGAGCTGTATTAAGTTCATGGTTGCGTGTGTGGTCATTCCTGCGTTGCTTTTAGCAGTTGAGTATGTGCAGGGTCCCCTTGTGTGTAAATGAGACTGAGACGCAACCGCTGGAGGAAGATCGGGCAGTCACAAATAGCAAGTCAACTGTTCAATGTGGACCAACCATTGAAGTAGGAATTGAGTTAGCATGTTTTATATGCTAGCGAACTGATGTTTAATAATCGTGGTGGTAGTTACGCCACACATGATATGACCTATTATGAATCAAATTTATTTTTCGAACAATCCATAGCTGATTTAATTCTTGAAAAAAATTTCTGGAAGGGGTTTTAACCTCTCGAACTCTTCCTCGACTATGCTACTGTATTACAGAATTATTAACAGAAGCAAAAAAAGAACAACAACATCTTAGTGAAATTTAAATAATTAGAAGAAATTAACTATAATAGGAATAAAAATTGTATTAGAGAATGACAGAAAAGGTATGCATTTCAAATATCACAGACTAGTACGATTGAGCAAATAACTTGAATTACTTACCAACCCACACTGCAGTGGCGTTGTCATCTGGGTCAAACGGACACTTAGCGATGCCATCCCCTATTCCGGGAAAGTGTTCATTTGGGGTCAGATAACTTAGGTTCCCCTTTTCAAAGAGAAAGAATAATCATAAGATTTAAAAGAGATATTTTTTAAATAAGAAAATTATTGTACGTAAAGAACGAAAGAGAAAAATATATAATTAAAACGTAAAAAAATAACAATTTTTTAAACAGGGTCATCTTGATTATTCATATTAAAAGATAAATATTAAAATAAAAAATTTTTTTTGCCAAGAAATTTAATAAAAACAACAAAATAAAATGAAATGTTTCTTTTTAACAAAAAATTGTCAGAATCCAATTTTTTATTTTTTAACATTATCTACAAAAGCAGTTAGATAATAAAATAAATGAAACTATTGCCTTACATAAATAACGAGATCACGGGGATTATGAGCATTGGTACCACATAAATATAATTTGCTGCCATCACCAATAGGTTGTATCACTCTTATATGGTTTCTACAATCATATCTCTGAAACACAAAACAAATAACTCAGCATAGAACATTATTTTTCAACTGTATAAATTATGTCATAACACACATTGTACGGCTATATTCACAAATTGCTCATAATAACTACGTAATAATTGATTATTAAAAAAGATATACATACATTCTAATTGCAGTGGTCAGAAAAACTACATAATTTTTGCAGTTAACTACAACTACTTCACCAGTGAATGTTCACAATCACATAGTCGCTTTGTTAAATGTCCGAAATATACACTATGTCCAGTTGAGTGTCATTGCCCGGTATATACTTGCTGGTATTCTGTACTCTGAAGTTTTAAGGTTCGGTGCCACCGCCCGGAATGCTATAAATAAATTTTTTAAGGTCAAATGTCCAGTATACATTTAACCAGTACTCCTGATGTTTCTCTTAATCTATCCTCAGAAGAATAAATATAATAATATCAACGAATAAATTAATATCAAACCGGATATAACAAATATTGCAGACATTCATCAAAGCGACTATGTGATTGCTGACATTCATTGGTGAAAGTAGACATTCTCTTGATTTTGGTCATTCACGGTAACATACATATTACTAGGCAACAAAGAATTGAAATATCAAGCAAGAGAGCTGTCCTAAGAAATATTTATTCATGTTTACATGAGACAGTTTATTATTCCAAATCAATTCTTGCGAATTAGTTCTTTTCAAATTTAACTTTTTATGCATTTCTTGACAACGAATATTTAATTAGAAAAATTTTTTGGAAATTGTTAATTTTTTGTAAATTTTTAAATGTTCTTTTATTTCCCCTAAAAAATATAGTTCATCAAAGATGACAGAGAAAATATGTTCCCTTCCATTGAAATAACATCTATGTTTCATGACAGTACACTCGTATTTGAAGGTGTGGACAAAGCGATAAATTAGTTATTAGTCGTAATGCTTAGTTTAAATATTAGCAAAAACCTTTTAACACTCATCCACAGGAACATTCTCTTTATGCCAATTGAGGTATCAGTGAAGATGACTACCAAGATTCAAAAAATCAATTGCGCTTAAACTTTATTAATTGAACCAGGCTTTAAAAAACCTTTTTATTTTTGTTTAAACTGGGTTTTAAAGAAGAAAATTAAATAATAACATAATTTGTGATATAGAAAAAACTTTTTCAAGGGAAGGGATCCAGATCCCCCTCAGCAAACCTTAAATACATAATTTAAATGCACAGAACAAGTAATACCTCCGATTTTCCTTTGGAGACGCAGTTGGCAACATTTTGAGGATCTAGGAACAAAGCATCTACCTGTAAAAAAATATCTCAGGATTAGAAACATTACTAAATAATGAAATACAGTATATAAAAAAAAATCATAACATTTGATTTCTGATAGTAAATGTAATGAAATTATTCTGCTGAGAGCTGTTAATTGATGTTTTTAAGATCCAACATTTATTTTAATCATTTAGAGGCTTTCCATTTCAAAAATGATGTCACAATTTTTTGTTTCTATATATTTTACCCTTTCCTCCACTTTGTGATACTTCATTGTACTCCCTACCTCCTCTCGTTACATGTCACGCTATATTAAATAAACATATACTTGCAGTTCAGCAGATACAAAGCGTTATGTAATAGATCATATTCAATTTTTTTACAAATACTTTAATGACGTTTGCGAGTATAACAATAATAATCTATCTATCAATAGATATACATACATTCTAATTAAAGTGGTCAGAAAAACTACATAATTTTTGTAGTTAACTACAACTACAACAAATGTATAAACTAGAAACTCTTTTTAAAATGCAGCTGTTACTGTGAATGACTGAAATTAGTTGTTGCTGACTTTCACCGGTGAATGTTGACAAGCACATAGTCACTTTGGCAAATGTCTGAAATATATACTTGGTCTAGTTAAGTGCCACTGCCTGGTATGCCCTACATCAATGTTCTTTTAAGGTCAAATGCCACTGCCCAGTATGCATTTAAGTGGTACTCTGAACATTGATGTTTCTCCAAATCTATCGTCAACAGATATTAAAATATCGAAAATATGATAATATCAACGAATAAATTAATATCAAATCGGATATAGCAAATATTTTAGACATTCACCAAAGCGCCTATGTGATAGTTGATATTTTCTTGATTTCAGTCATTCATGGCAACATATATATAAATATATATTTATATCACAAGGTGACAAAGAAATTCTTCATATCCTTCTTGCATTGAAATATCAAGCATGAGAGCTGTCACAAGCATGAAAGCGTAAATGTACAGGTTTACAAATTTCTGGATGAAAATTCCTTTCCTCACGTGGACAACAAAAAGCTGAAATAAACTGAGCAATAGTTGGGAGGAATAAAATCTTAAAAGCAAATAGTTCATACCAACGAACCAAGTGTATTCAGAAATCTTGCTAATTTAGGTCGCTTAGACTAATCTGCATTCAGGGATTGTGCTACAGTTGGTAAAGTGTTTTAAACACCAAAAATCTAATTTCATTCTGCACGATCAGTGTCACAACATCTTAAGCATAGATAGATTTTAAATACCTTTAGACTATGTATTCATATATTATGTATACTGTTTTAGAAGAGATTAATAAAAAAACCGCTCAATAAAACTCTTTTAGAAAATGTAAGTAAATTAATTCTAACAAATATAAAACTGTCAAAAAGTACATTTAAAACTAAGGGAAGGCAATATATTTACTAGATAAAAATATTCATTCACTTATTATATATTGGTACAGTATTCAAAACATTAATTAAATTTGAAATTGAAACGTTGCTTCATCTCAAAATATTTAAAATACATAAAAAAAAGTGCATACAAGCTTTAGATTCATTAAAAAAACATAGATATTCGTACGTTATAATTGAGACTATAGTGCATTGGTAATTGCTATAATTTGAATGGAAGAAAAAAATTCTTTCGTCATAAAAGTTCGTTCTAGTTTACTTTTTTCCTTTCATTGTAATTTGAGCCACCTCTATTCGAATCCTTGTGAAAATTATTCTTTTTATTTAAATTTTTTTAATTCTTCATTCGAGAAAAATGCACTTATTGAACTCAATTTTTAAAATTTGCCTACATATTGTTTTAAATATAAAACAGGTTATCCATTTATACAGAGTTTAGAATTAAGGTTTAAATTAATTTAACCAATTTAAATTACTGCTCTTATAGTAACTTGATTGTAGCGAAAAGTTAAAAAAAATATTAAATCAAATATTCTTATTTTTTCCATTCTCAACAAGTAAACAAAAAAAAAAAAAAAAAAAAAAAAAAAAAAAAAAAAAAAAAANACATACATAAATATACTTAAATAAAATAATATTTTTGCCTAAGAATTTTTATTTTCACTGCATTTTTATTTAAATGCATAGGCCTTGTCTCTTGTATCTTGCTTTTAAATTATACTTAAACCACGTGTTTATTTCGTTGATAGTTATGCTTTTATATGTGTTATTGTGAAACTAAATAAATTAAAATCAACGGAAATGGAAATGAAAAAAAAAGAAAAGAGTTTTGTACTGAATAACAAAAAACCACCAATATTATTGACGCCAATGATAATTAATTTCGGTCGTCAATAATAGTTCAGTAAATTGCGTCAATAATAATTCTTTGGTATCAATAATAGTTCAGTAAATAATAAGCTATTGACATGTGACATGACACTAACTATAGAATTGTAAAACTTATTCTCCAATCAGCGTTATAATTCTTCAACACTAATTGAAGTGAAATAATAAGCTAGATTACTAGTTGTTATTGTAGTTCATTTACGTCGCACTACAGCTGCGCACTGGGCTATTAGCGACGGTCTGGGAAACATCCCTGAGGATGATGCGCAGACATGCCATCACAATTTTGATCCTCTGCAGAGGGGATGGCACCCCCACTTCGGTAGCCCGACGACCTGCACGCGAAGTCGAGCACTTTACGGTCGAACAGTTTAACGAGGATCAAAATCGTACACTCTCGGTACCTACGCAGACTAATCTAACTGGTCACCCACCCGCACACTGACCGCAGCCAGTGATGCTTGACTTAACGATCAGTCCACTGTGGGACAGATTGAAACAAAATAATAAACTATGTATTAAATAGCAAAATTAACGGAGAAATTTAACTAATTCGTTTAGCAGAGAGTAAAAAATCGGCAACTATTATTTTCGTCATGGGTACTAATTGAAATATAAATAAGCTATGAACTAAAAATCAAAATTAATGGTGAAAATGTACACATTCGTTATAGGGAAGCATAAATTGCCATACTATTATTGGCACAGATAATGCTTAGTTTTGGTGAAAGGTTTATAAATTTTATTTTTTTAAAGAGGCATTAGTTTAAAGATTTTAATAAATGATACGCCAGAACAAATCTCAAATCAAATGAGTTTAACTTTGTAGCGAGGGAATTTATATTTATATTTTAAATATAACAAAATATCTAATTTATATTTTAAATATAACAAAATAAGCCATGTAGCATTATTTTCTTAAAAACCCAAAACAAGTGTAAATAAATAAAAGTAATAACAATCGGCTAATGATTAGTTTTTTCTTCAAAAAAGAAATTTTACAGCAAATTGTGCTGTGGTAATCAAAATAAAATTTCAAAACTAATTTTATCATATGAGTATAGAATTTGCCAATTTATGCTTAAAGATCAGTTAACTAATACAGCCCGAAGGAATAAAATATCAGTAATACGTAACGTACGAAAACTTAAATGGTTATCAATATCTCAATTATATTAGTAAGCAGACATCACAGTCTTAAAGTTAATAACAAAACAACAGAACTTGCAATATTTAATCAATTCCATGGCTGTTGTAGCATATTATTAGTCTCTAGTTGTTACTAGTGAACCAGAAACTTAAAATTGAGCTCTTTTCACTTCAATTATTAAAAGTTACTCTTTGAAATATCGTTTGCATTTCAATTCGAGGATACACATTCTTTTATCCTCAAGCTATTTGAGGCAGAGAAAACTAATAATAGCATCTGGGAACAAGTATTCCTCAATACTATTATCGTCAGCTTCAAACAAAATTGGATTGCATTCATCTCAAACAAAATAAATAAACTGCTTTTATTGATAAGGGGCATGCATTGAAAGTATGACCTCAAAAGCATTCTTCGATTTCAAATAATATCGAAAAGAAGGGATCGGATAAAAGAAAATATTTTTTTTTGCCTTCACTTTACTTGCAGATGAAAAAATAAATATCGTTTGGAATATTTTCTTTTAATCCTTTTCTTTGTAAAGAAACATCTTTTGAGTTTAATAAAATACTACAATGTATTTTATCAAGCAAATTGAACCACATAAAAGGCAAACCATGTAAAGGTAAGAAATAGATGTTTCGTAAGAATATCCCAAAATTTGTAAAACATAAATTTTCTAAAATCAGTTGGGAATATGGAACGTCTTCACGGAAAAAAAAAATCGCTTGGAATACAACGTTTAGAAGAAAATAATCGTTTGGTATATTTAAAAAAAGAAAAGAAAGAAAAAAAAGATAACTTGGAAAACAACATTTCGAATCGTTCGAGAGAGCGGGGGGAGGGGAGTAAATAAAATTAGCTTCGAATGTTTTCTTTTGATCCTTTCTTTGTAAAGAAACATAGTTCACTTATAATCAAATACTACAATGATTTTTTCGAATTTTTCATAATTGGAGTATTTTTTTAAAAAACATAACAAGGGATTTAAAAATAATAATGACGAGCATACGATAAAAAATACTGGTTCACGCATCACTTTACAGGCAATTCAAATACAGTCAAACCCCGTTATAGTGAACCTTCAAGGGATCAAAATTTCGGTTCACTATATCCGTTACGCGACAATTTGACTAATGGTTCCCAAACTCCTAATGGCGTACAAAGAAAAATTCGTAATCTTTAGCTGTGATGAGCAATCCTCAACATCAGATTTGGAAACACTTCCAGACTCTCAGATAATTTTCCTGAAATTCTGTTATTCCGTTTTTTAAACCTGTCTGACCTGCCATTCGAGCACATAAAAGTAGTCTCACAAAATCGCTTAGCAAATTCATCCACATTTGTTCAGATACTGGATGATTACGGCTTCTTCGAATGCTGAACCACTTTAGCAATGCTTCTTCAACATCCTTGTGATCTGCTTTTCTCAATTTTTTTCTGCCATCTAAATTTTTTTCATGAGCAGAAATTATTAATTGCCTATTTTTCCATATGTTACAAACTGCAGATTTGGATAGTTTAGATTTCCTGCAAAATATCAGCTTGATTGCATC